CAGCCCTGGAGGTTGCTGCTTGATCAAAACATGCCATTTCCAGTATATATATTGTTAGCTTGGAGGTTGTTGTTGCTTACCGTAGCAAAGGGGATTTGGAAACAGTAAGATGCAGATAGCGGCAGGAAGGGAATGGTGGCTGAAATCAGCAGCCCAATAGCAGGCTTATAGCCACAGTCTACATCTGGTGAGTCAGACTAGGGATAACAATAACAGAATGAGTAAAAAAGAAAAATGTCTCTGCCCCTTTTTGGGAGTATTGCCACATATAACTTTATCTTGACATGACTACAAAAGCAGTTTATTAGCCACATGATTTTTTTCAACACATCATCCCCGTTCAGCCCACTGATGTGTCGAATCCGCTGTGGCAATAGGTGTCATCAGCTCCTCCAGCAAGAAGGGCGCTTATTTCCTATCTTGTGTGGACCATAAGTATTTAAACCCAGCAAGACTTGTCAAAGTAGGCTGATAGCATATTTGAAACATAGCATTGTGGGCTAGACAATGACATACATGCTACAATGACTTCTATGACCAGTAGCTCAGCTTTTTTTTTTTTTTTTTTTTTAAAATACAAACATTACCATATACCCCAATGAAATGTCAGGAAAGTGTGAAGGTAAGAAAACATAGATAGCACCCAAGCTCACACTACACATATATTAATTCAGACATACACATTCACACACCTGTGTCTCTCCAGGCTGGGCTTTAGAAACTCCAATACGTTGAAGCATGAGATGGAGTTTCTGTTCAAAGCTATGTTGGCCTTCGAATTGTTTCTGAAATAAGCAACACAAAGTAGTGAGTGCTTTTCAAAACTTATCTGCTGATATAATTGTATATATGACTTTATTCTACTAACACTCACCTTTGAAGTGTTTCGGGCATTGGTAGTCCCCGCTGCTGCTGATCCTGACAGCAAAATGAGAGACTGGGACTTCCCCTCTCTGAGAGCTCGGCGGGGAGGCACTGCTTCACCCCTCAGTGGAGCGCCAGGTGTCTCCTGAACAGCTGACTCTCCAGTAACAGCACCGGGATGTTCTTTCGCTTTCTCCTTTTCATTTTCCTTGTCGTGCTCCTTGACTCGGTCCTTATCTTTTTCTTTCTCCGCTCTGGCGACCTCCCTGAGCGGACGAATGAGATCAGCGATGGAGGCCTTTTTGGGTCGCCCCTCGTGGCTTGTTTCTGATTTCAGACCTCGTCTCTTTTTGAGTGTAAAGAAGTCACCAAGCTTCCTCCTGAGTGTTTTTGTCGGGGGTGGACAAGGGACAGAGCTGGCAGGAGCCACTTCGTGCACTGTGACAGATTCCTCATCTTGCTTTTTCCTACATAAAGGATCATAGTCTGTATATCAAGCCAATAATGTGTACAACCAGCTTACTTGTATTAAAGTATTATTAGGAACTAGATTAGCTAAGTATCAAGGAACTATAAAGAGGCTAATTAGGCAGCTGTTGATACTCACAGTGTATCAGTAGGAAGTACTCTCTTAGTAAAGAACTCTTCAACTCCTTCATCCACTCTCCCCATGAGCTCAAGGACTTCATTGTCACTCTCAATTATTGTCTCCTGATTTCCACACACATACACAGAAAAACATTTCACACCAAAGATCAAACAAACTGATGTTGAAGAGCAACTTGTATCATATGTAACTTTACATTACATAACCCTCACCTCTGAAAAACCCACACACTCTGGCACTAGTGTTTCTCCTGCCTCTATAGGTGTATTTTGGTTTGAATCTCTCATCCAGTCATGCTACAAACCAGCCTCCTGGGAGTCAGTTGCTCAGTAACGTACAATGGGGGGGCGTCACTGGTTTTACATGCAGAATGAGAGCAACATAACTCATTTTGCCAATGTAGGTAATGTGATATCAAAATTGCAACCATACAGTGTTGCATCATCCTGATCATATTAACATCTGTAGACACAAGTAGCAATAAAAACCAGGAGGTTGACTGCAGAACACAAATTTAGCAGAAGTCACCGATACATGATATCCTGTCAGAGGAATTGCTTGAATTTGGTCTCCCTGGCCATTGGCTCCAAGGGAGTGACTCTATGTCTACAGCCTAATAGCTCTGTGACAACATGATCAGCTCAGTGGAAAATGGAGATGATCACACACATTTTGATATAATTCCCTGAAAAAATACAAACAGCAGGAGATTTTTTCAGTGAGAGAAAGAGAAGACATTCAGACCAAACTACCACTCGCTCTCATACATACTCATCATGCTCTTACACACAGAAAATACCAAGTGTGGGTTCATCAAACAGCCGGTGACCGGTACAATGGGACTGCCTTATTCAAGCAGGGACCAGGCATCTTTTACAGCACTCCCCCTCCATCCTTCCCTTCCCCCTGCCTCTCCCCTCTGTACCCTATTACATCTCTCCTCTCTCCCCCCCTTCCATTTTCTCTCCTCACACACACCACCTTTCCCTCACACTCCATTTTTACAAAAACCTCTCTGATCCTTCTTCACAGTACCTGCGGTCTGCTGGGACGATAGTTCAGTTTTTGTCGGTGAGGTCTCGGTCTGCTCTGGGTGTAGTGCCTGAGCGCTGGTCCGCCCAATGGCAGCTCCATTGGGGAGACACGGCACGCTGTTGCCGTGGAGCTCTGTTGCCGTGGCTCTGTTGCTGAGGCACCGTTGCTAAGAGCATGAGCAGCAGCAGTATGTAATGCCTCCACTGAGGTGGGAGGGGCCAGGCTGGCTAGACTGACAGATCTGACAACAGAACCTTGCCTTTCTCTGCCCCCTCCCCTCCAAGAGGAAAACCATGAGAAAAAGATGGTGATAAAATAAGAAGGGGAAGAGAGAGGGAGGAATAAAGTGACCACACTAACATCTGTTTCATCCCTGCATCCAAGCCTATGACAAGTATATGCATAAGAGTAGACTGCAAAGGAAACAGCTGAAATGAACAAAATGTTCTATTGGTTATGTAACAAATTAATAATTTATTTTATATGCGGAAAAGATGCTCTGAAATTCTGTAATTCAAAATGAGATGTCTCACCAATACTAGAGGAAACTGTACTAAATAGTCCTGAGAGGATTGTTAGATATCTTGATAATGAGCTGTAAGACTTGCTCAGAAACCATAAAATAAACACAGGCACACACCCACAAGCACCAATCTCTATGTATCTTAATTATACTACTAATACCCCTGAAGGCGTGTGTAGGGAGTTTCATGGGAACTGTTTTTGAATATTTGATATTCAAACCCAGCAACTCAATTCCCAGTTTGAAACACTTTGATATAAATCTATCATTTACACTGGTTTTAGTGGCAGATAAGGGAATTATTCATATCATTCAATGCTGATTTATGACTGTAATTGTTTAATTAACTGACCTAATCCACACAATTTCTATTTTCTCTCGAAAAATATTCAAAGAACCATAGGCGTAGATAGCAGGGGGGACACAAGGGAAACACCCACCTCAATATTTAGAACCCCCAATAGTTAGAGGACTTCTTTGGATCAAAATTAAAGACATTTACACCATAAATTGACGCAGAGAAGGCACAAACTGGTGCATAAAAAAATCACTAAAATGCAGAAAATTAAGTGTTTGACACCCCCAACCCCCTGTTCCAATGATGAAATGAAACCCATGCCCCTGGAAAGGACTGTTTCCTTTCTTAGCGCTTAACTCTAAACCCAACTCAACAACCTAGAAATACAGTAACTTGTTTTCCACTCATGAACCCATGTCACATTTTCCATGTGGAGTAATAACATCAGCTATTTTTAGTGCCAGGGTGCAGATGTAATACACCAAGGTTATTTTAACTGAGAGGCAAGTTGTGTATTAACATGTGTATTAATATTTTAAACCACGAAAACTTAAAACATTAATTTCAGGATAAAACTTCACTCTGGTCAGCTAGGTAACTATTACAGTCATAAATCAGTGTCTAAATTATACTTTTATATCGAAGTGTTACAAATTCTGAATTGAGTTATTTTAACTGCAGAAGCTGGATGTGTCTGTCATGTAAATATGATCATACAGCCATATATAAATATATAAAAGAATGTTTATGTAGAACAGTTAGCTGGCAAAAGATTCAGTAAAATGTAAAGTCACTGTCCAGATATCGGCAGGGGAACAGGAGAATGATGTGCAACAAAAGTGCCCAGCCAGACTGAACCAGGGACATTGAAACTGATGGCCAGTATCATTTAACTCCTAAACCACCAGAGACCCCATGGTTTCAGTTTTGCTCTTAAATATTCCATATCCCTAACTTCCACTGAGGACAAGATGTACTTAAATAAACTGTAAACAGTGCAGAGAGTGTAATAAACAGTAATAGTAAAACCCCAGCAGCTCATTTGTCCCTCCCACACCATGGTATCAGGATTTTAGACCATACCAAATGAAAGACATGACAGAGACAACACTGTGTGGGGGACAAGATGTGGAAATTAATGTTTTTGTATGTAACTGTGTCACATATTAGATTGAAGGTGACATTTTCACACCCAAATAAAAACCTGCAACCCACTATAACTAATACATGTGTTTATTTGGATATGTAAATGTCACCTTCAATCCATTCTGTGACACAGTTACACATAAAGACCTCGAGGATAGTGTATAATCACGACTTTCTGTGTAGGGGGGCCCGCCCTTCACCTACAATATTCACACTGCCCTCTAGTGACTGTTTTTAAGAATTACTTTTATTCACAAAATCACTTGTAACCTCGATTTAACATAGGATAAGAGGTGTTGAAGGCCTATTAGTCATGCTCTGGTAAAACCGATCTGCATTTCTCGTGAGAAAACTAATCAGTACTCTCTGTTCTCTCGGTCATTGTTGCTCTTCTTCCCACCACCACGCCCACGCCTGAATTCAAATCTGGCGCCCATCACCCTCAGCTCACAGCTCGACCACTCCCCTTTACTCCCTCGGGTGCTGTGTTTGCGCAGGCGCGGTAGCTCATAAGGGCCGCCATTTTGTGTTAGGCCCACTCTTCCTAAGCGGGAGAAAATTTTTAGTCCGGCGCGCAGCACGTACGGACGTTCACACCGGGACTTGGAGGAACAACCACATGCACCGAGCATCCAGCTGAATATAACGGGGAACAGAAGCAGTCGGGAGTAAGTGAAGCCGTTACTTTGCCTCCAAACACGGAAACGTTTTTGTAGGAGCCGTCGCCGGCCTCTAGGTGTCACGGTAGGGCTTACCGACCAGGCGGCTGGCGGGGGGTGTTTGTCTCCCTCTATCGTTATCCAAAATACACTAAATCTGTCTATAAACTGTAACTCCCCGTCTCGGTTGAGTGTTTTGGTGCTTTCCGGCTGATATTTTGGGGTAATGGCACAGGGATGGCTGTGTTTATCAATATTTCTGTTTTAAGTTTGTTCAGGCCTGACGTCCATCTTATCGTGCCCTTTGTTTCCTGTTTTCAGACGTACTCGCGCCTCCCGAGTTAACACGAGTTGATGTCTAAGTAGTTTGTACCGTCTAAACAATATATCGTTTGTTTTGACTAATAAACTGTGACTTGATAACAGGATGCCATAAAGTAAGCGTTTTTAAAACAGGCGAACGAGTGACTCCGAAGTATCGATTGATTGATCGACAGATATCAATGTCTAATCAGCACAGGAAGACGTAAACGGTCACTTTTCTCAAACTTTAACATAACCTCACTGTCGTACAATGCTATAGTAGGATTGCAGATGATGAATTAACACGGTTTGTTCACTTAATTTAAGTCTAGGCTCCATGTACTACTTTATCTGACCCATACTCTCCACAGTCGGCCAGATGTGCAGTGGATTATCTTTATATAAAACTCGGTCTAGAAATCAGAGTATACCAGGGTGTCCTTCATTAACGTTGCATATACTTCGGGGTATTAATGGTGAGATGAATGCTGGATATAGTCGAGGGACTGTCTCTATTTGGCACGTTTTTAGTAACCCACTGCACTACATAACATCTAAATTACACTTAAATTTAATCTATTTCCGGCACGTTAACTAGCAGTCACTTGCTTGGAGTATAGGATCCCACACTGGGTTGGAAGTTAGCACCAAATGCTAGTAAAATATGCCAAAACCAATGCCAATCTGTTGAGTGGTTGGCAGATTTAGGACTCCACCAGCCACAGTGGCAGGTGGTCAAAAAGTATTTCCAACCCTGCTCCCACACGTGGATAGATTGACTAAGACTCGATAATCCATATCACAAAGACTTGTAGTTTGAGTGTTGACTCTGTATATGTATGAAGTGAAACACGTCGATTGCTAGCAATGTATAAAGTATTCTCTGATTAGGTCATTCAATGCTAGAAAATCGGTTTCCCCTCTGATCTGTTGAAGGGTCAGGTTATCAAAATAAAACAACACACTGGCTCCCAGTGGAGTTTAAGTATCCACAGCTGGTACTACCACTTCCTTTTAGAGGCAAAAGGACATGCAGTCATTTGTTGAGCTCATGGCATTTGTAAAAACCAAACAACAAGAAGTTCCAATTACTGAGGGAAACCTCCTCACAGAAGACTGTTGGCAGTGTACTGATGTGTAGAAACCGGCTCCACATGTACAAACATATTTTCAGCTCCTGTTTTTTGTTATCAAAATTATAAGTCATTCTCACTTTCTGATAAATTTCTTCTCCTTTTAAGGGTGTTAGTTACCCCCTTGCCATGGAGGGTGAGGTTGTTTCCATGGAGACCACTCAGGCTGCGGTCCTGGCTCCTGAAGGAAAGGTCCTGCCAGAGGGCGGAGAGGCTTTGATACAAGGATCAGCCATGGCTCAACAGGGGGAAGTGGCTGAGAACATGGAGATGATGGTGATGGATGCTCTCGATCCAACTTTGCTGCAAATGAAGACGGAGGTGTTGGAGGGTGGTGGCACAGTGACTGTTACGGGTGGAGATGAAGGACAGATCATCACGCTGCAGGTTGGTATAGAACATCAGTTAAGCGATACCATTTAACTAATGTTGGATTATTGGTAACTGGTCTTGTAAAATGTTTTATGTAGTGTGGTCAAGTTGAAAGGGTTTTTCTTCTATGTAGGTGGTAAACATGGAGGAGCAGGCAGGAGCTGCATTAGGTCTTGGCCAGCTTCAGCTGGTGCAGGTACCTGTCACAACAGCAACTGTAGAGGGGCTCCAGGCCACCTATGTTGATGCCTCAGCAGTCAACAAGGATGCAGAGCCGGTTATCTGTCACACCCTCCCTTTGCCTGAGGGCTTCCAGGTTAGTTATGTCCTCAACTTTGCATTCTCAGCAAACTCTTGTGTTGAAAAATAGTCTGGTCACAATGAGACACAGATGTAATCTTTTCTTTTAGGTGGTAAAAGTGGGTGCCAATGGTGAAGTAGAGACTGTAGAGCATGAGGAGCTCCAGGCAACCCATGAGGAGTTTCAAGCAGTTAGGGCAGAGGAGGGGGTAGAGGCAGCAGAAGTAGAAGCCACTGTGCCTCAGCAAGAAGACCCAGAATGGTCTAAGGACCCAGACTACCAGCCCATCACCAGTATCCGTAGTAAAGGGAAGAAAGGAAAGAAGAGCCGCCTGCGCTATGGAGACGGCGATCGTGACATGGATGTTTCTGTGTACGATTTTGAGGAAGAGCAGCAGGAGGGGCTGCTGTCTGAGGTCAATGCTGAGAAGGTTGTGGGCAACATGAAACCACCAAAGCCCACAAAGATCAAGAAAAAAGGTTAGACATCAACGTTTCTTTAGTATCTGAAGATGACTGTGAGAAGACACATTTTAGATTATGATTTGTTTATGTGATGTTCCTCTTTATAATCCTAAAATGTACTCAGGTGTAAAGAAGACTTTCCAGTGTGAGCTGTGTAGCTACACCTGTCCAAGGCGCTCCAACTTGGACAGACACATGAAGAGCCACACAGATGAGAGACCACATAAATGTCACTTGTGTGGAAGGGCTTTTCGAACTGTTACACTGCTGAGAAACCACCTCAATACACACACAGGTAAATCAAAGAACAGTACTTGTACTTGTTAACTAAAAAAATGCTACATTCTGTAATAATTCAGATAAATTTGTAAGAATTAAACTGGAACTAACTGGATGATTTACTAGGAATTTTGTTATTTCTCCCGTTACGTTAACACTACACGGTCGAGTTTCTTAACTTTTCAGCCATGCTTCAACTGTTCTTGCTTCATGTTACCATTAGACAAAGAAGAAATAGATCTTTTCCATTAACAAACCTTGGCAGTGTTCCTTCATTCTCATTTCGTTCAACTTTTTTAGGCACTCGGCCACATAAATGCACAGATTGTGACATGGCATTTGTGACCAGTGGTGAACTGGTGCGTCATCGCCGCTACAAACACACACACGAGAAGCCCTTCAAGTGCTCCATGTGTGACTACTGCAGCGTGGAGGCAAGTAATCAAATGTTGATCTGTGTTAGGTCCCTCTCTCGTCTGTAGTTAACACCCACGGTAAGTCTTGTATTTTAATCTTTATCTCTCTTTTTTTAGGTTAGTAAGTTGAAAAGGCACATCCGCTCCCATACAGGAGAGCGACCCTTCCAGTGCAGTCTGTGCAGCTATGCTAGTAGGGACACTTACAAGCTGAAGAGACACATGAGAACACATTCAGGTAACATTCTTGCATCATCTATTTGCAGAGGGAAGTCTTACTACAGGTTTAAGAAGAGAACCTCACATACTAAATTCTCTCCTCTTTTGTGCAGGTGAAAAGCCGTACGAGTGCTACATCTGCCATGCCCGTTTCACACAAAGCGGCACCATGAAGATGCATATTCTGCAGAAACACACGGAGAACGTGGCCAAGTTCCACTGCCCACACTGTGATACTGTCATCGCACGCAAGAGTGACCTTGGTTAGTAATGTGTTGTCATTTTTGCTTAAAACTAAATGTGATCAGCTGCAGAAAAAAATAGCAGGGAAGTACTGGTAAGGCTGGTATTTGAGGGTCTTTAGATTCTGAGATCATGAAGTATGTCCATGTAAACCAGGGTTGTGAGAGAAATCATGTTACTTCACATCATGCACATTTTATAATTGAAATAATGTCTTAAACTCGCCGGTTCGGTCACTGGAGCTTTGATGTGAACGTTTCTATTCTGTTTCTATTTCAGGGGTTCACTTGCGGAAGCAGCATTCATTTATTGAGAAGGGAAAGAAATGTCGTTACTGTGATGCTGTGTTCCATGAGCGATATGCTCTCATCCAACACCAGAAGACCCACAAGAATGAGAAACGCTTCAAGTGTGAACAGTGTGACTACTGCTGCAGACAGGTGTGTGTCATGAGGAATATGAAGCTCTTATTCCAAGTTAATTTCTTTTCATGCCTGATGACAATTTATCTCTGACCCATTTCTTCATAGGAACGCCACATGGTAATGCACAAGCGTACACACACGGGGGAGAAGCCATTTGCCTGCAGCCAGTGTGAGAAAACATTTAGGCAGAAGCAGCTTCTGGACATGCACTTCAAGCGCTACCATGATCCCAACTTTGTCCCCACTGCCTTCGTCTGCGTCAAGTGTAGCAAGACGTTCACCCGCAGGGTAGGGCTGAGCTTCGTGTTTTAGCACATACATCCACTTATTTTAAAGTATGTCACTAAGTTGTAATGGTTATGTGTGCGTGCTCCACAGAACACAATGCTGCGTCACAGTGAGAACTGCACAGGTGAAGTTGAAGAAGAAAATGGAACTCCCACACCGAAAAAGGGTCGTCGTGGCAGGAAGAGGAAGATGCAGAGCAGGAGGGAAGGTGACGATGACGACGACAACACAGGTATTATATACGTAGCAAATCTCAGTCCCTCATTTGACATCAGAGTATGCAATGAAATTTGTTCAAAATAAGTAAAGGAGCTCATTACCATTTCCTGGCTGTGAAAAGCTGCCCTGGGCATTTTGTAAATTTTAATCTTCAAGTCTGCTGAAAATACTCATTAGTATATTGTTTTGGCCAAGGGACTCATCGGTCTTGATAACATGTTGGTTACACATTTGGTTACTGAAGTTTGGACAGGATCAGGCAAATTTGTTGCTTTAAGTTGGCACATAAAACCCAACCAGGATGCAGTTCAGCATGTATTGTAGTGATGGTACAACTGAGTTAAGGCCTAGACACACCAAACTGACTAGTGGCAATGAAGGCCAACTGTTGCATCTGAGCACATCACAGTGACCACAGTCAACAGTCAACGAACACATACACATAACAGCCTGACATTGATCAACGGCCAACTGTCGGCTTGGTGTGTCAGGGCCCTAAAATTGTCAGGAAATGTGCTTGTGTCAAAATGTAATTTATTTCTTCTCGATGTCCTCACTCATTCACCTGTAGAGGGTGAACTAGATGACATAGAGGAGGAGGAGCTAAGTGAGATTGAGGTGGATCAGGCCCCACCAGTCGTCCCTATCCCAGCCCCTGTGGAACCACCAGTCAAGAGGAAACGTGGACGACCCCCAAAGAGCAAACCAGATGGTAAGTATGAGGCTACCATACTTTTGGGCATGTTTTGGCAGTGTTTCTGAGCCACACACCGTAACACTTAAAGAATGCTAATGGAGTGTGATCATAGCTAAAATGTAAAGCATCACTGTTTCCTTTTTATAAATATTTTTAACATTGTGAAAAAACATATCTTTTAATACCAGAATCTGACCTGTAACTTTCTTAACAGCGGCTGCTATCATCCGTGTGGAGGACGAGGCCACTGGAGAGGTGGATGACATAATTGTGAAGAGGGAGGTTGGAGCCGACCATGATGACACAGAGGACATCAACGATGAGACCGTAGAGGAGGTCGTGGTCGGTGGAGGGAAGTCTACCATCCAGTTGGAGGAGTTGCCCCAGGAAGAGGGGACAGCACCAGGGGTGCAGCTGTCCGAGACCCCACCCAATGGAGACCTGACCCCTGAGATGATCCTCAGCATGATGGACCGGTGATGGATGTGAGGGTCAAACCTGTAAACACACACAGACCCCTGATCACGTCTTCATTTTTTTAAATTCTTGGCATTTAGGATTAAAAACACTTGCATCCTGCACAGAAAAAAACATCACTGTTCGTAATTTAAGATTTGCTTTTTAAAATCATGTATTGATAAAGAGCTGGATGAGTGAAAAATTTTTAATAAGGACTTACCTACCAAAAAAAATCATGTCAGTACATTAGAGTTTGGGGTGGCTGTAATTGACAGCAGTATCTAGCTCTGTCATGTGGTATGCTACATTAGATACATTACAAAATCTCTTCTGAATACATTGTTTTAACATAGTAGAGAGACTCTTCCCTGAATCTAGACTGTGTGCGTGTAATTCTACAAAACATCTGGGTAATCATTTTAATTTCTGTTCTTCCTAAGTCCTTCTGTTTTTTGATTTACTTGTTATGCATCTGTGTGCCGTTAAGTTGAGGTCGTAAGTAGATAGTTGTACAACCATAATGTGGACCATAAATCCAGTCAGTGTTTAATTTCCTCACTGAAGACCTCCATATAGTGTACCTCTCAGTTTGGGCAGAAAACTGCTCTCCAGTCAGATTTGGAGATGAAAATTTGCTGTTTGGGTTTGACATTTTTGAGCAGCATAAGAAAAGTACAATTAGGCCGCAGTTTAAAGTCACTGAATCAAATATCATCAGAAGAGAAACATGATACTGCTGTTAATCACAGCCACTGTAAGAGAAAATATTTCTTTTTTTGGTTTCTTTTTCTGTGGTTATTAATTACTTTTTTAAAGCCAATTTTAGTTTTTAAGAGCTTAATAGACTGCTTATCTTATGCTCCTTTCTTGCTACTGTAACACCCCTAGATGACTTTTATGTACTAAACATTGTCACTTGATAGGTGCAAGGAAAGAATGTTGTTTCGCTCCCTTTTGTAGCCATTCCACTTTGGGTTGATGTTTTTTCTTTTGTACCATTGGCAATGCAACATAGCAGCTTGAATGACATTTTAATAACTGAGGACAGGAACAGATGTATGACTGTACAACCAATTAAAAAAAAAAAGTAGACATTGAGACTGATGTTTTAAGTTTCTGCAGCTGTAATAATCTAAATCATGGATATTTAAAATCAGTCTGGTTTTGGAGAAGTTAACGTGTTAGTTGTACAGTTACAGCCCCCAAAAAAAACTAAGGGTGGAAGCATTGTTAATGGAAATAAGCTGAGAAACAACTGAGTGCTAATACAGAAATGTCAGTGTATTTTGCTTGCAAATCTATTTTATTAAATGGACAACTTGATACAAAGATCTTCACTCATTTGTTTGTCTAAAGAACATATGAACTGACGTGACACCAGTGGATTTGTCTCAACTATTGTTCTTCACACTGGTATTCTTCAGATACGTCGAAATTTGATGACTTTTTAATTTAAGCCATTTATTCTCGTTCTGCTTAAACTGGGATTTGACTCAAATCACTTTTTTTTTTTTTTTTTTAAACTTGGGAATTGTGACTTGAGGTTCAGCTTCTGCAGTCACAGGATGCATCTTGTCTACATGACCATGGGCTGTGGTGGCTTTTATTCACTGTAGGGTCAACCAAGAGTTTTGCAGCTCTCTTACAAACAAGACCATACTTCTTCCATCTTTACACTTTTTATCTCCACTCAATTTTGACAAATATTACCCACCAATAAAACGGGTGTCTATCATTAATAGGATCGTCAGTCACAGTTTCATACAAAAATTGTCTGCTTTGGCATTGATGCATACTGTCTCAAATTTGACTGAAACCAATAGACAAAAATGTGATGCAAAAACAATGACCCAACTTCTCTGCATGTGACATGTCACATGAGGTCATGTGGGAAGAGCCTGTTGGGGCAAATTAAAATGCCTTCACTGGTATTCCATTATATTTTTCCATATTCCTCAGGTTTTCTATTACTCTAGTGCTGTTATTTATACCAACAAAATCTGTAAATGGCTGCAGTGTGCTTCAGTGGAAAGACGGTAGATGGTAATGTGCCTAAAATCATACTTGAATAAAGGACATCTTTATTCTCAAAATCCTAATTCCCATTGTATTAGCTGCTAGAGAGCACAAAGAGCAGCTTCACACTTGCATCGAGCCCCAGTTACTGGCTCCAGATGATTCTGTTTACATGGTATCAGTGCTACTATAACAAACATGGAGAAACACAGTATTATAGTTAAACTTCTGTGCTAACCATTTTGTAAAAGATGCATTTAGCATGAGTTGTGGATACAGTATTTAACCTGATACTCTGAACTACTTAGCTCCATGTTTTCTGTCGATCCTGACGACACAGACATTTTGAGTCTTGGTGGTTTTGTGGTTTGGGAACCTCCTAGTCATGCAATAGCTGTGCAAGTTGCTGTAACTTTAGCTAATTAGCTAAAGCTAAGTGGTGTTGTTGTAGCTAGCTGTAATGCTATTAAAAATAACAATGGACTGATTAGGAACTTGTTGACGTTCAGTGACGTTAATAAAACTAATTAGCTTAGTTTAACTAGTTAGTTTAGTTTGCTAGTGATAGTGGTAGGAGATTTTTAGTTGCATTAAATTGTTAAAACTTTTACCCGTTAGTAGCGGTATTTAACTTAACTCTTTCCAGCTTTTCTATCGTCCACTTAGCTCGACCCTCCCTCTGTGTAAATACTATTAAACGCGCAGTTAAGTTTTAAACGACAGTGGGAGTTATTAAACTAGTTAATGTGGCAGATTAATAGCAGCACTCTCGGTTGTGCCAGCTGCTACGTCCTGTTTTGGAGGAAATCTGGAGGAAAAAGCGCCACATGCTGTCCTTCATCGCCGCCCCCTCCCCGGCTCGGTCAAACTTTACACCAACGGCCAGACACCGCCGCACCTGATAGATTTCACTGCTAAAACTGAACCTACACGTTGTACTGGGCCACCCATGGGTGACGGCTGAGGCTGTGGGAGACGCTGACACTTTTTCTCCTTCCTCTTTTTCGGAAACTCCTTGTGTCTGTTTTTTTCCGTTGGATTCACCGTGGCGTCGCCAGCGAAGCACAAGCAGCAACGGGGAAAACAGTGACAGACCGAGGGACATCCATCCCTGTTGCCACAGCAACTAGCCGAAACATGATTTCCGGTTGGGCGAGCGACATTTCAAAATAAAATAAATGCTTTTTTTTTTTTTTCCTTGTTACTCCTTAGGGTGATTTTCCATGAAAGTAATGGCCCAAACTATGTTTTCATGTACATATTCTGCAACATTGCTGGCTTCTAGCATATAAAGTAGCTTGGCTGTATGTTTCTAAGGTTCAGTAAGCCAAGTGAGCCTGTCCCAGCGAGACTGTTTTGGGTATATTAGGCAAAGCTTTCCTGAGTTTTGATGTCTGGTATCCATTGCAAAATGTCAAAGGACTCCCAACAGCCTATGTCGTCTATCATCAGTGTTGTACATATGGCATGGCTTGTCATGTCAACCCCAAAGGTGAACGTAGGGGTGCAGAAACTGAGTATCAAACGTTCCAAATCAAATCAAATCAGGCTATAATTGTCATCTCACCAAACATACAACAGTAATGCAGCTAAAACGAAACAGTGCTTGCAGAGGGTCGTTCCAACACTAAATTAATACCATAAAGTAGACAGCAATAAAATACAATAAAACCCTGACTATCTAAAATTCCAGTGTGACACTCACACATCACACATCAGCAGTGACCTTTTTCAGAAAAAGTGACACTTGGCATTTAAAGTGACCATGTGCAGTGCTGTGCAGTATTTATAAGGTGCATGGAATAGAGAGTCCAGTTTAGCTGTGTAACATCCCAACAACCTCTGGAAGGAGGCTGTTAAGCAGTCTACTGGTCCTAGATTTGACACTGTGGTAGCGTTTGCTTGATGGCAGCAGTTCAAAGTGCCTGTTGACTACTGACAATGGAGGCCTAAGCGTGTCAGGTATTAACAACTGACACAAATTTAGTGTAGTTATAATACTTAATATAACAAATGTCTATCTATAACAAATGTCTATCTATTATTTATTATGACTGCTGTCCCCAGTAGGACAATGCGCTATACCACACCGCAAAAACTACTCAGGAATGGCCCAAGGAACATGACAAAGATCTTAAGGCATTGACCTGGCCTCCAAATTTCCCAGTTCCCCATACGACCGAGCATCTGTGGGATGTGCCAGTACCCCAGACATACTGCCCATCCACGGTGGGGCCTCTATGGATTGGACATAGCTCTGACATGTCAAAGTATGGACATAGGAAGTCTGGGGATGCCCCGTGGTGTCTGGCACTAGGAGCTTCATGGCGGATCCTGTGAGTCCTGTGGGTTGCGAGAAAACATACCAGCATGTCCCAAGGATGCTCGGTCAGATTTGGATCTGGGAAATTTGGAGGCCAAGTCAAGGCCTTAAGCTCTTTGTCATGTTCCTTGGGCCATTTCTGAGCAGTTTTTGCGGCGTGGCATGACACATTGTCCTGCTGGTGCAAATATACATATATATGTGTGTGTGTGTGCGCGCGCGCATTAAAATATACATTAAAATACGTAACACCGTTCATTTTTGCGCATTATGTGCTTTCAAATCAGTTGCAAATTTCTGTTCACGTGGGGAGCTTTTATAGTGAAAACCTGTCACCGGAAGTCGTTTGCAGTAACGGCTGCTAGCTTGACTGTGGACACAAAAAACTGCGAAATCAAGGAGAGGGACAGCGCCCAGAATAACTGTAAACCTCTGCAAACTGTGTGGAGCATCGCGTTGGAAATGAGACTGCTGACATATTCTCCGGGTTGTCGGACGTTAAAACAGAGGTAGGAGGACCCTCTGCTTTTATCGGCAAGGTCACAACAAGAAGCCTGTTAAATTTTTCTCTACATGGGCATGAGTCCGTCCGACGTGAAGTTGCTTTCCTGTGATGTTATCGACATTATATCCGCCAGCTGGCTGTGATTGGCCTTGTCCCCGTTTTTCCCTGCTGTTTTCGGTGTTTATTGTGAGTTGGTGGACGGACACTCTCGGGGAACAGGGTGTTGGGGGTCCTGGTGTGGTCGGGAGTGGACTTTTTTTGTGGCCTGTGATGAGCTCCGGGGGCTGGGGTGGGATATGTGCGGAATACAAAATCTGGCACGACAGCGTTTCCTTTAAATTTGGTATCTGAGCTCCATCCTTTTACTGTTTTTCCTCCAAGTTAAGAGTGATGTGTGAGCGTGTTGATCCGACTCAGTGGCCTGCTGCCGCCCGGTTAGGCTAATCCAGTAATCTGGAGAAGAGGTGGTTGCATTTTATTGTAACACCATTACCCCTCATCCTCCTCCTCTTCCTCCTCAAACAGACCCACAAAGTATGGATGGACGCCGGTCTGAGGGCTGCGAGCTTACGTAGTTGTTTATATCGGCTCTAATGCTCCCTGAACCCAGTGATTAGTCGATTAGTGAATCATCTGATCAAGAGCACATTGATCACTTCCAGTAATGAACATGACTAACATCTAAACGTCACACACATGACTGTGTGTTCCCCATTTTGTATTATAACATATTGAACACGGGGTTTTTGGCATTTGGTCAGACAGCAGTTTGGTTGTGGCACATTGTGATGACACATTTATTCATCAGAAAATTAATTCTGTTTTGATAATTGACTAATGGTTTGGCCATTTACCAGAGAGGAATGCCAAGGATTCACTAAGATGAAATGATTTGCTGCTTTTATCCTTACACAATTATATGTGGAATATCTTTCTCTTGTCTAATCAGCCAATGAGATGGATATTTTTTACTATTTTGTGACTTAACAATAAGTTGAATGACAAAACAACCAGCTTGTAATAAAAGTAGTCACAGCCCCGTTCACTTTACATGAATGATTAATGAATGTGTCAAAATAGCCGATGAATAAACATGATTGTGAGATTGTTGTAGGCCCCAGCTACTAGCCGAACAGGGCTGCATGCGCGTGTGAACGCAGCCAGTGCACCAAAGGCTTTTTTTAAACAAAACTCCAGTCTTGTGAGGTGATTGAAAACAGTGTCCTCTTTGTTCACTCTGCTCCAAGGAGAGCATTAATCCAGTTAATGATCTCTAATGTAAGGCCGGGGATAAAAGCACATCTGACAGAGAGGAAACTGACCAATCGGCACTCACAATTATCAATAATACTGAGCTATTTATGGGTGGGTGGGAGTGTGTAAGATGTGTGTTTCATCATGATGACTTTGCACTTTCATAGCTGTGCACACCTCAGGGGGCAGATCCCCGTCGTGCACATGTTCTGTGGCATGTTTGGCAGAAGGTGGTTGGTGGTGGGGTGTTCTTTGGTATGACACCTTTGTTCTAACCCCTGACCAACCCCAGTTAATCCTCCCAGTGCAGCTAAGATTAGCAGTTTAACTGGACCCCCGGCCTGGTGTACCCCGAGCCCACGTCCTTGCTGTGTGGTAGGAGAACACAGAAAGACAGCAGGGTGCAAACAGCTTATTCTCACATCAGCAGTGTTGTCCCCTAACAAGGCTCTGATCATATTAAACTATAATCTATTTGTTTTTCCAACAGGTGGAACATTTGATCCCGTAATAGACGCATTTCTCCGCTGGTTTTGAGTGTAGTGTAAGACAGTGGAGAGCAGATGTCACCAGGAGCGTTGTCCTGTGCTGCTGGCTCATTCTCAGATACCATGTGTTAATATGGGTTTGGCTCCTGCTTGACAGCTTTACTTTGGTTTAAGTCTGTAATCTCTTTTGTGACTAGATTAGCTCATGCACGACCCTCTCTTGCTATGGTTTCCCCCGACCGTGGCGTCACGTTTAATGGCTTATCTTGGAGACGAAAAAGGGTCAATTTTTACACCCTGGCACACAGCGGAGGGATGGTTTTTATATTCTCGGGCCAAACTTCTGTGTAGAATTTCCTGTGTAGAGTCAGCCATGAGACTTCCTGTGCTCTGGTGTTGGATGTGGAGGGGGGTGGAGAAGTAGGGAAGGAAGGGGAAGAGAAGCAAAAGCAGACTGTACTCCTTGCTGTTGTCAGTCAGTGGTGGCCACAGCGGTTGCTGCATGCATGTCGTTCTCTGTCTCTGACTTTCAGCAAAACAATGTGGCCAAACCGGGGAAGTGAAAGAGTGGTTTCTGTCCTCCTGTTTTTGCCCCACCATTTTTTCTTCCAGTGACCTCTGTAATTATCAGAATCCTTGATAATCACAGAGTAGGAGCAAAAATCCTGTCAGGTACAGCAAGGTATGAATTGACGAGGGACTTTTTTGTCTCTAATGTCTCCTTTTTGTGTAATTACAGGACATGTCCTTCGGTTTGTTAAAGCCACAGTGCTACACTCAACTCTCCAAGCATGCTACAGTAGTGACAATCTCTCTCTACTCAGCAGGTGAGCAGACCTCTTCCTGTCTCCCTGTCTGTCCAGCCGGTTTTTCCCATTTTAATGTGTTTTAACTGAAATAATCACAAAGGCCTTATCAGAAACGAGCCCATGTTCCTCTCCCTCCCTCAGCACTGTTTGATCCAAGAGAAACGTGCCTTGTAAGGAAGCAGGATGTTCACAGGCTCCACCAAACTGCCACCTACTAAAACCCCGCAGCCTGAGCGGCTGGATGAAGTGTACGCTGCCTTACGCAGAGGCTTACAGTGAGTAAACACATTTCAGGCTCTGTTTGCATTGATTCCAGTGGATGGCTGCCAGGTGGAGGAATCACTGAAAGATACAACTGCTTTTGAGTCTGAGAACGAAGCGAAGACGTAACAGGGATGGGGTTTTTGTTGTCAGGTCGTACCTGCAGGTCCACCAGCTGGAGCTGGACAGTCTGGGTCAGCAGACCAGAGAGAACAAGAGGAACGGTCGCCTGGTGAGAGCCCATGTAGTCAAACCAGTCATACCAGTACAGACAATCATTCAGCACCAGGCCGGATGCTGTCGTCTCCGGTACTCAGTCAGGATGTGAATTTGACATTGTGATGCTAAACGTTTTAATCTTGTTGTTTTCTTTGCAGGGGTCTCTGTATGAGTTAGATAAGGTGAGTTTCATTCACACCTGTTGTATACAGACATGAGTGCAGCACATTGAAACTGTAGAAGGTGGAAGAGACTTTCTGAATGAGTTTGTCAAGTTTCACTTTTTTTATTTTTGCAGCAAGTGAAAGCCATAGAGAGGTTTATGCGTCGTCTGGAATTCCATCTCAGTAAGGTGTGTATTTATGTGAAGAGCTGATTTTTTTTTTAATTTAAAGTTGCACTAAGCAAAATTTGAATTAAAACGCTAGATCAAAGCACCTTGTGTAATGTGAAAATGTGTTATTCATAGTGAGAAACCCACAGAGAATCATCACCTGTCAGATATTTCTCTCAGGAGTTGGTGGAGACCAAATCAAAGCTAATAGGAGGGACAGTATTGGACTTAAATATGTTAGATGAGCACAAACAGGACTCCAAACGAATGCTAATGTTTCCATATTAATGTCACAAGGCAACATTGTGTCAACGTTGTGTTAACAGCTTGTTGCAATGCTCCAGAGTGCTTTAATTAGTACATAGAAATTGTAGTTACGAGGGTCACAATGGTAGAAGATTTTCACAGTAGAACAGCTATCTAAGAAAATATCACAGTGTATTATTATCATTATTATCAGTTACAATGACCCTTAAAGAAATGACAACAGAAAGGTTGTTTTGGTTGAACATGTTCTTTATTTTAAGTCAAACTTGAGGCCATTTTCTTAAATGGGAGGTAAAATAAAATAAAGGTGAGATTCTCAGCTTGTTTTTTGTTTTTTTTTCCAGTACTGTAAATAAATATATTTACATGGCATGTTAACCTCGCGTTTTCACACCACAGTGTACAGTGAAACTGATGTACTGCTGCAGCCCTCCAAGCCATGAAATAAAAATAACTGCATAATCATTTTCACTTTCATATTCTCCTCAGGTGAGACTCTAACATCACATCCATTTGTTGAAACCTGTGTTATATCTGCTCTTCCAGGTTGAGGAGCTGTACGATGCGTATTGTATACAGCGGCGACTGCGTGATGGAGCAAGTAAGATGGTGGCGGCCTTTAACTCCGCCACTGGCAGCAAGGAGGCCAGAGAGAGCCTAAGTGAAGCCAACAAGGGCTACAAAGAGTGCACAGAGGTATGTGACCGACCTGAGGTCAGTGTGTTTGAATGTTTCAGCATGTACACCGGGCTCTCTGGGCTGGATTTTACTTCTGTTGAAAATAGATATCAGACTGTGTACTGTAAATGTTCTAACAAATCTCTGCTACATCATTCACATCCTTCCCTCCATCTGTCTCTGCAGCACATGTGCTCACTTGAGAGTGAATTAGAAAGCCAGATGGGAGAATTTCATGTCAAGATGAAGGGTGAGTCATTTTTTTTACCACTTCCTATTTCCTCTGATCTGCATTAGCCCAGTTCTCATTTTTCTTGTCCATTTTGGATGTTTCAGGCCTCGCTGGCTTTGCACGGCTCTGTGCTGGTGATCAGTACGAGGTAAGAAACACAAACACAAGCATGTAGACACAGATTGTGACGGAGTCTGTGCAGCCGATGAATCACATCCGCTGTTTTTGGCCCCATCAGGTCCTAATGCGGTATGGGCGGCAACGCTGGAGGCTACGAGGCCGCGTGGAAGTCAGCAACAAGCAGATATGGGACAGTGAAGAGTACATCTTTCTGCCACTTGTCACAGAGCTGCTGTCAATCAAGGTAATGAAATCAGCTTTTAAAGGCCAAAGCCAGTGTTACTTATGATAAACAAATCCCATGAAAAGATCAAAAGCCAAGTATGTGTTACTTTCCTAACCTGTCTGTGCCCACTGGTTCCTACTCAAGACGTCAAGCTTTAAACAGGTCACACATCATTATTAAAAAGGCTAAACATTTACCTAAAACAGTTGGGATGTTTTCAGCAATCATAATTTAAACGGCAGTAAACAGTCCACATGATTTCAGCTGTACATTAATATATAGTTGTTTGTTTATTGAGCCGCAGTGATGTTGTGTGTGGGACTGAGTCAATATAAGCTACAGCACAATATATTTTATCAGCAGCCTGATCCTTTAACTCAGTGGTCCCCAACCGGTGGGTCGTGGTCCAAAAGTGGGTCTCGGGTCCATTCTGTATGGACCGCAAGTGACTCGCAAATGTGTCAAATTTGGGAGAAAAAAAAAAAAAACACTTTATATTTAAGTATGGTGAATTCCAGCTACTTCACAGAGACAGCAAAGTAGTTTGATGACATGACCAAATGCAAGTATGATGCTGACTGTATTAAATTGTCTGGACCTTGAACTAATGACTAAGGAGAAATCTGGGCCCTGAGGCTGGACCAGCTGGGAACCACTGCTTGAACTTATTACATGTATTCTCACAAAAATGCCAGCTTCAGCTAATTGTCAACTGTGTTAAAGGAACAATGTGTAAGATTTAGGGAGATATAAGGGGATTTAGTGGCATCTAGCGGTGAGGATTGCAGATTGCAACCAACTAAAACTTCTCCAGCTTAGATTTCCTTCAGTAGTCTTCGTTTAGGAGGTTTTTACTGGGAATCGAATTATCCATGGAGGTCTCTTCCTCTCCAAAAATTAAAAACTAACCATGGTGATCCCCGTAGACAAGGACCTGCTCCCTCTGTAGATATAAATGGCTCGTTCTAAGGTTACGAATGATTATTTTCAGATGATTATACACTGAAGAAAACATACTTATTATATTATATTCAATTTCTGCCAGTATATCCCTCTAAAGCCTACACACTAGACCTTTAAGTTCCCATGATGTCTGCCTGTCCTCACCTCTCTCTGCTTGTTTTGGTTGTCAAGGTGACGGAGCTGAAAAGCCTGGCTAATCATGTAGTGGTGGGCAGCGTGTCCTGTGAAATGCTCGACCTGTTCTGCCCGCTTCCCCAGACGCTTGCTGTGGATATCAACGACCTCGGGACAGTGAAGCTGAACTTGGAGGTCACCTGGAGGTACTTTAACCTCTCGTGGCCTCTTTTGTTTTTGTTATTTTACACTTTTCACATGTTTATTTAAGAGTGTTTGGCTCTGTTTCTCACTCTTTGTCCTGCTGTTTTTCAGTCCATTTGATAAGGATGACCAGACATCGTCCACCAGTACAGTTTCCAAACGGCTGCTGTCCAATCAGAGCCCTCCTGACACGCCCTCTATGCGGGAGCAGGTGTTTTATGTGAGTCACTTAACAACAATCCATCACACCTGCTCTGTTACACCACTAGTTTATAATCTGTATTAAGGGTTTGTAAACTCTTTGTCATTACTACACATACACACACTGCTAATTTATTTTACTGATGGCTGCTATTACTGTCATTTCATTGGCTTGTTCTATTTCAGCTGCTCCCCAACTGCTTTGTGTGTAGTGGTAGCACTGATGTGTGTGAGGATATTAACAGAGTACTGTGTGTTAGGACATGTGGTTGTGGGAGTGCGGTGCCTAATGCGAGGAGGATGAATGATAGCAGTAGCGGGACGTGTGACAGCAGCAGCAGCATGTATGAGCGGAGCTGTGGTCCTTGTAGCTGTTTAATAGTGGTTGAGTAGAGCTCCAATATGTCCCTCCTCTTCCTCACCTCGCTGAAGAGCGTGCCTCGAGTCGGGCCCAGACAGAGCCGCTCGCTGGTGGAGGTGCTCCACGATGTCATGGCGGACAGGACGGTGTCCTTACGTTGTGAAGTCAGCCGTACAACACCCAGATTCACCTCTGTACAGTCGGTGTGTTGGGACGTAGTCGTAGATGTAGTTTGGTTGTAGTGACCAAACAGTAGAGAGATAACAGTAGAACAATAGAAAAAACCTGATCACTTTAATTTGAATTTAAACTAAAGGAACACGATCAGAGGCATTTTGTCAGCTGCAACCTGTTTATTTTATTTTTGATTGTTGATTCTAAAACAACAACCTTTACACATTTCTTTCCTGGTTTAGATAATACTGTATATATGGTACTTTTTAAGATTTAAAACACTTTTTTTAAATTATTATTATTATTATGTTTCTTATTTTATTTATTTTAATCATTTAATTTAATTTATTATTTTATTATTTAAATATATAAATCAAGAAAATGACAAGAAAATAACAAAAACTGATAATCATTCAGTGTGTAAAATATTACAAATAATCACAAGTTACCCAAAGGGATAAATTAACATTGCCTAATTGTAATTTGTACAGAAGCTAAAATAATTAATAAAATAAAAAAAGTCTGTTTATATTATGAGGCAAGAAACAGCTAAATCCGTCCGTGCAAAGCTTCAAGTAGCCAGTGATTGTTGAGAAATGATAAAAAATAAAAATACTGACTTATTTTTCTCTTTCCCCTTTTGGAGGGAAAAAAAGTTTCATATCCCCCTGGTCTTATTTGGCCCCACGTGACACTGAATCATTTAACTTTAGTTCCACCCATATTTTAGTCTTGGTTTCCCCTCGGTTTGTCAGCAGAGCTGCAACAATCAGTCGACTAGTAGTCAACCATTAAATTAATCACCAGTTAATCTGATAATCTGTTAATCTGTTTTAGTCATTCTGTAGGAAATGAAAAGTAAAAAAATGTCTGATTCAAGCTTCTCACATGTGAATATTTGCTGGTGTCTTTACGCTTCCTTAAAATTCAGAATCAAACTGCGGTTTATGCTGCGTTCACATGGAATCAGGGAAACAGTAGATGGCAAACCAGGTACCATTTTAGTGGATGAAAGCAGGTTGGTAACATTAGTAACAGTCAGCAGAGAATGCCAGCAACGGTAATGGTAGACGTCATTGCCACTGAAGTTAAATATTTTAACTTTTTGCAGTCCTCCACAATGGAATTCACAACTGGATGTTACAAAGCTCCTGTACACAAGGCGGAACTATGGGCAATCTGGTCAATTACTGGACATTAATAGAATACTTTTTAATTTTTTTTAACATTTGATTGATTGATTTTTTTTAAATAATTCAGCGTCATCATTGCAACATGTAGTCATGCATGTTTAGTTTCACTGTTCTGCCAGTCGGACTGATTGTTTTTCTGGTGCCGTCCAGAGGTGTTGTCCATTTTGTGTCTACCGTCTCCCCAAATACAGGTGAACACAGCATTACTGCCCAGTAGGTTCTCACATACAGTGAAATTGCTTTGGTGTATTGGTGCATAACATAAACATAATTAAGGAAAATAAAATAAAAAATAAGAGCAAGTGTTGCAAAAATTAGGAAATATAAATATAGAATAAAGTGAACTTAAAATTATAAAAAAAATACTATCAAAGAATATGTACAGTACATGTGAATTAAAACAAAATAACTGCAGTGTTCAGAAGTAAATGACAATAAACTGAATATCTATGAGTTGTGGACAAACTACACTTGAGGACATCATCTTTGGCTGAGCAACATATTTTCAGCATTTTCTAACATACCAAACAACTGATTAATTAATTCGAGAAAATAATCAACAGATTACTCACCACTGAAAATAATCACCCTATTTCTCAGTTGTTTTTATCATGTGCTTATTATTTTTTGATTTGATGACCCACATGTACACAGAACCTGTAATCTGTCTGTCTGTAGACTTAACAGTGATAATATAGTCTCGTTAATGTTCTCTGTGTCTCACCTGTTGTCTCTCTGTGTCTTGTTCCCCATCTAGTCTCTGCTGAAGCGTCAAGGAGAAATGGAGAACGGGACCGTGTGGTCCAACTCCTCCGAGTCCTCCGACGACTCCTCCAGTCCGGCCTTGGCTCACCATGCTCAGAGGCTGACGGCCTCCAACATGCTGCAAACCACTCTCACCAATCAGCTGTCGCTCTCGCAGCACAAGTCCAGCGCATCAACGCCGTCACTCTCATCCAACCAGGAGGAGGATGAGACAGAAGCCGGGGAGGTTTTCTCTCAGTCGGACGCCGTGCCCAACGGCCATCTGCAGACTTCCTGCTCTCATACACCAGACTGTACTGTGACTGGCAGAGCGTCTGTCAAATCAGCCGAGCTCTCCGAAACCTCAGGAGACCTGAGCTGCTCATGCCCCGATGTTTCCTCTGTGCCTCCTGTATCGCTGACAGAGACACAGGACATATCTGAAAGTGGCGTCCCACAGGTGTGTATTTCAGCGGAGGAGGTAAAAGAGGAAGCGTCTGAGGACTCGTCAGTACAGGCTGGACAGACTGAAGTAGAAATAGAGGACAGCACCACTGAAGCAGCAGAGGGACACCAGGTAGAAGCCACAGAGAAACACAGTCAACCACTTCAGTCCATCCAGGAGTCAAAACAACCGCAGGACACTCTGACGGTGAGCTTCACTCACTTCTCTGTCTGTGTAAAGTCTAATATGTTGACGTTCATATTTATACATCTGCATTTGTCTTCTACACAGGCCCCTTTTCCCACTTCTTCTAGTTTCACTTTGGAGGTCGAGACAGCACTTGAAAGTTTTGACTTTCTCAACTGCTCTGACCTTGATGAAGATGAGGAGGAAGAGGAACAACAGGAACAACAGGAAGATGAAGTAAAGAAGAAGGAGGAGGAGGAGGATGATGATGGGCAACATGAAGAGAACCAAAACAAAGAGGAGGAAGAGACAGTGGCGGAAGAGACAGTGGCGGAAGAGACAGTGGCGGAGGAGAAAGTGGTGGAAGAGAAAGTGGTGGAAGAGAAAGTGGAGGAGGAGAAGGTGGAGGAAGAAGAAAAGGATGAAGAGAACTTTTACTCTGGAGGAAGGTCAGTATTACTGGTCATTGTTGAGCTTTGAATGGTCGTCAGTGCCTTTTGTGCTTCATATGAACAAATGTTTTGTTATTTCCACTCACATGACGGATTAACTTAACAAAACTTTCTGTACAAACAGGAAAACCTCCCATTATTCTGATTTGGTCATTTTCACACATTACTGTGCGCTCCACGCTGCAGTCACACCACTGAAAAGCCTTATTGTAGTGAGTCGCTGACACATGAAACCGTACCAGCTCTTTCAAAATTAGCAGTGTCAACTATATTAGTGCTAAAATGTATTTTTATTTAGATGTGACTGCTAGTGATGGAGGCTTCGTGGTCTCTGGGAGATAACATAGCTTGGCTGTTCGTATTAACAATCTGAATGACATGATGTTGACGCTGCAATAGATCACATAAACAAGTCTCATGGTTTCTTACACGACTTAAAGCTGTAGTTGGTAACTTATAAAAAATAACTTCTGTCATATTTGGTGAAATGAGACAGATAATCTTTGGGGAAAAAATCATACTCCTCTGCCTACTCTACTGCCTTGTAGCACTTCTCATGGCTTTGTCACACATGAACGAATACAACAAATCCAAGGCAAGGAGACTCAAATGTAGCTGTCAATTACTGCCTGTGAACTGCGGTCACACTCTAAGTAGGCAGCGCTAATCAAATATAAATCAAGATTTTGTAACTGCACTGCCTGTTTCTCGCCTCAAATGTTCTCGGGAACATATTTAAGTGTACTGTTTAGCTGTAAAATGAGAACATTTGTGACCAGGGGGCCAATTTGAAAACAGTTAAACAGTACCAAGCACTGCCCATCAGCTGGAAAAACTCTCATGTTACAACTAAACAGTACACTAAAATACGTTTCTGAAAACATTTAAGGTAAGAAATAGGCAATGCTCCAGAATAATCTTGATTCATATTTGATCAGTGCTGCCTAGTTCGACAGTTTGATGGCAGTTCACAAGCAGTGATTGACATGATTGAGCTCTGATTGGTTGTATTTGGTGTGCTACGGTAGATTCTAGCAAATGCCATTAGAAGCAGTAGGACGGGATGAGGGCATGGATTTTCTCACAGACTGTCTCATGTACTGCTTTCAGAATATAGAAGCAGTTTCAGCATTTAAGTTATTTTCATAAATGAATGACCAACTTAACCTCAATCATTTGTTTATCAGGGACAACAAGAATGTGATTGCAAAACTTCCAAACATATCAAAATGATGTTCAAATCATCTGAATGTTTCCTTATAAACATGGAGTCTTGGGAGTAAATATTTAACCCAGTATACCTATGTATGTATGTTCTGCATGTATGTATGGATGGATGTTAAGAGGTTTTAGCTTAAGTGTTTACATCTGACGCACCATGTATGTAACTGTTGCTCTACTTTTTGTGACACTCTGCAGTGATGATGAGGAGGCAGACGGTCTACAGATCCTTATGGAGGCCCCGGAAGGTTTCAGAAACTCAGATGAAGATAGATTCTCTGAATCTCAGGTAATCAAAGTATCCGATTGTTTTTTTTTGTTGTTGTATTTTTTAAGGCAGCAGTTATGTGAGTGTGTGTATTCTCCTGAAGTATGGAAGTCGGCTAATGTTCTACCTTTCCATAGATGACCTAAACGACAACTGTCCTGTCTCAAAACGGTCTTGTCTGTCTAAAGCCCTTGAATCATCGTGCTGAAGTCTGTTTTACACTGCTGGTATATTACAGCTGATAGGACACTGATAGACAGCTGATTAGTCTATTGGCCGCACGGTGGTGCAGTGATTAGCATTGTTGCCTCACAGCAAGAGGGTTCCTGGTTTCGAACCCAGGGTAGGAGGAGACCTTCTGTATGGAGTTTGCATGATCTCCCCGTGTCAGCGTGGGTTTTCTCCAGGTTCTCCAGCTTCCTCCTACAGTCCAAAGACATGCAGCTTAATCGATTACTTTAAATTGGCTGTCTCTATGTGTCGGCCCTGTGATAGTCTGGTGACCTGTCCAGGGTGTACCCTGCCTCTCGCCTAGTGTCAGCTGGGATAGGCTCCAGCCCCCACTACACAAGCACTCCCCTCTCGCCTCAATTGAAGCAACAGTGTTGCTTTTTACTGTGATACCTTTCAATTTTCTTCAAGGGCAAAAGTGGGCTGCATGCCATCAGTCAATTTTAAGTGTCAGATGATGCACTGGACACATCACTTGACGTGTTTTATGTGAGCACGCACAGAGTCTGAAGCAGAAAACCTGGGTTAACAGAGACAGTCAATAACCACCTTCGTGGTACCCGTTATGTCTGACTGAGGCGTTAGGGTTTGTCGAGCCAGCTCAGAAGAAGGGAACTGTCTCTGTGGTACAGCCCCCAGCACTTGTTTTGAATTATAAAGGACTTCTTCAAAAGTTGCTCTTGTATTTGACGTCACTGATTCGCTGGAGAGGTGGAACACATAACAAACGCACACAGGACTGGTTAGTGCTGCAGATTCCTAGAGCTAACACTGATTTGGGACAGACTTTTAGATTCTTTGCACTGTACACTTGGAACAAACTGCATTGTACCTCCAAGCTCCAGACTGATTTTAACTGACTTTTAACTTATTTTAATAGACTTATTATTGTGTTGTATTACTTTTAATTGATGGATTGTTTTTTAAAATATTTTGTATTATTGTATTTACTACAGTTGATATTGTACATTTATGTCTTTTATTTATGTACTCAGGTCTGTTTTGAAAATGAGATCTCAATCTCAGTGGGACTTACCTGATTAAATAAGTTTTATTATGTTGCCTAAATTGGTGTTAATATAAATTAAAAATATTTTCAAAAGGAGTCCAGCGTGGAGGACGGGCAGGATGTGTGTCAGATGGAGCTGGCCGATGAGAAGGAGGAGCACAGCGAGGAAAAGGGAGACGAACCACAAGGTGAGAGGAGTTTTCATTCATGTGACCACAGAACTGCAGGCGTGATGAGATTTGACGCTAATTATCCCTGTTTTTGATCTTTCAGGAGAGGACACATCACAAGCTCAGGAGGAGCGTCCCTCTACTCCCACCCACTTGGCCACTGCTGTCTTCTAATGAGACCAGGGGCACCGTACTTAAAACCATTTCTCCCACTCTGCCATCCACTCATGCCATCCCCCTCGTACACCGCGGCATCGGAGGCCTTGAGGATGTTCCACTTACTGCTCAGACAAACAAGCTCTCCCATTAACGGCAGAGTTTGTGCACATATTTGCCTTGTTCTGACCAAGAACGATAAACCTCGAGGTTTCCGCACCTCAGTCGTGACTGAAAGCCCCCCTTCCCTCATTCTTTCAACACACACTCCACCATCACGTTGCCTGGGTTTAAGTGGGTCACCACTTAGTTTACACTCTCATAAACTGTTCCGGTCATGTGAAAACTCAGTGTCCAAAACATTTCAGGAACAGCTAAAAGCGGCCTTGTTTTGGCTTTATTACAGTGCATTTTTTTTAAGTAATCTAATAATTTTTAAATGGTTTTATAAGTTTGAGTTGATGGATTTCTTCAGTCTACAGAGAAGCATACAATCACTAACTGAGTTCTCAAAACTACCAGTATTTGTGGATATATATATAAAAAAAACTATCAAGGTTATGTTTTTCAGTGTTAAATCAGTGTACAGCCCAGAGCTCTTTTCTTTGTCCGTGAGAGAGGAAAAAAGACTGAGCATGTGATGTTTGTCTGAAGATTTTCATCGACGTGCTGTGGATATGGAGTCATTCCCAAACCAGGAATGTACCCTGAAAACCAACAGGATCTTTTCATTTTAGGCATTAGAGACAGTTAATTACTCAGAAATACACATGGAGTGCAGAAGTTACAACTCAACACCAGGAACATTAGTATTATTAGGACTGAGCAAACACTTTAGGAGTCTCGAATGTCTCCTCAAAGCTCATTTTGGTCCGACATGAAAACAATCTGCAGTGTAAAACTATATTTAAACCTGCATGTGTAGCTGCCTCACACTGCCAGCATGTCTGTATAAAAAGCTCAACTGATCAGTTTTTAAGTGTGTAAGCTAGGCTTCAGTGCAAGGAAGCCATCGGGTCTGTAGCTGTGTACAAAAGCCGCCTCACAGGGGCGCTATAGTCTCTCAGCGTCATGCTTTATGTTGTTCTACAAAAGCCTCGTCATTCAGAAAGTGCCTCAAGTGACAGAGATGTAAGGTTTTAAAATGCCACGACAGGAGAGATCAGGCAAAAGATAACAGTGTTTATTTTCTGAATTACTTTAAGAGTGTGCACAATAAGAGATATTTACTGTTTCATATAAAGAATTGTATATGTCTTGAAATGTTAAAATGTTTATGTTCAGAAATGTTTAAACTTTATAAAGGTTTCTTTAAAATGAACACGGCTTTTGTTGGATTGAATGAATCAGCATTTGTGACCTGTATCAGGGTGGCAGACACTTTAATTTGCTTTTTTGAGATAATTTTTAATTAAATTTAAGACTGATTTTTAGATAAATCTTTTTCCTATTCAAGCACAACAGGTATGTATAAAGGTAAGTAATAGTGAGTTGGGTTAATCTACATTTTAGCAACAGGTGACAGGTATAAGATAAAAAGACAGAATTAGGTTAAGGTATGTTTAAAGATTGATAGCATAATTTAGTGACTTTTAAGGCCTAAAATTTATTAAAATTGAATTTAAGTCTTTTTAAGGACCTGCAGACATCCTGTGTAATTAGGACTGTAAAGACTTAAGCACAGAAAACATCACAACAACAAGAGTGCAAAAACCATTTCCTCAAAAAGATTTATTTATATACACCTCTTAAACTGAAGATTGATTCTTATGAGCATAAATTAATGATGGGGTGTTTTGTCTGACAGTTAAAGGACACTAAGGCAGCATTTAAAAAAAAGAAATAATGCTTTTTATCCAAGAAAATAAACTATGCTTACAAATAAGTATGTATGTGTTTAGGAAATGTTGCCCTTGTAACACTAAAAACACCGTGCAGTCAATGTGAGAAACTACAACAGCACCACAAATTGTTAAAATAATGCTCCCCATCAAGATCCATTAACGGAACGAGTGTCATTTGAACACAGTGAAGACATTTGCTGTCAGTGCATTAAAACATCACATAAAACACAGCAATGATAAAAACAAGTTAAAAATCTTCCAGAGTTTTGTCTTTTACTTCCATTTCTCTAGAAAAAAAACAGAGTATCTGAATATTATTATCACACAGAAAACACAAGGTTTCAATGTAACTAACAATAAACCCAGTCTGATGTTTAGGTTCAGGTCACTTTCACTGGAGATCAGAGGCATATTTATCCCTCACTTTGCAAAGTCCTGTCCTCACCTAAAAACTTAGCGGCTGCTCCAGTGACGCCCCCAGCTTCAGTAGAGCAGCACTGAGTCTGGCCTTCAGCGCTGAGTAGTCCGGCTGCTCAGAGTACTGCAGAGTCATCACTTCAGTCAGGTACGTTTGAAAGGCACCTGCACCATTACACACACAGACTTATATCAGCAGAGGGCTCATAATCACACACTTGTTAATGTGTTATGCAACGAACATTTTAACTCACTGGAGACTCTCCTCTTCCCAAAGCAGTGACTCAACAGTGCAGGGACGTCCTCCATGTATCTACAATGAGAACTTCACTGAGTAATTTGCATTTTCTTGGTATTGTACTACTGATTTAAAGCAACCACAACAAGGTTTCATTGTGTGTTGACTTTTGCAGCCCCTGTGGAGAAAAGCGTTTGCATGAGCACCACTGCCTCTTGTCGTAAAGATCTTGATCAGGCTAACACGTGTTTGTTTTGGCGGCGGGTAAAAGAAGGATGCAACTTATTCGGGCTCCAACAAGCACAGGACTTCAACCCAGGAGATCAGTGTTCATGTCCTGTGTGAGACTAAAAGTCAACGTTTAGTTGTTTTGTCACACGTCAGTTGTTAATCACAAGTCGACTGACGTGACTAACATCAATCACAATGTTTTCCTAAACCTGACCAAGTAGTTTTGCTGCCCAAACCTAACCACCCTTAGAGCCGACCCTTCTGCATCATGATCTATCCGCCCCCCTGCATCAGACAAGATCACGCTGGAGATTAATATCTATAATATGACGATGGTGAAACAGAGTAAAGTTTGTTTTAGCCACCAACATAATTCATTTATTGATGTAAAATCCCATCTCGCAATGGAATTCATAAAGAGACATTTTTCTGTCTCTGAAGAAAAGGGCAAATTCAGGATCGGTGCTGAATCCTTTAAAATCACACAATTCTCTCCATCTGTTTAATGACCGACCACCTGTACTCTTTTTATCTCTCCTGATTCTGCCCAAGTCTCACCAATAACCTCAAATATAATGTTAAAAATTCAATTCTCCGAGGAAAAATCTCCTCCTGCTCCCTTTTAACTGGCTAACATACTACTCACTGCAAAACTTTGCCCAAAAAATATAAACATACGCTCTTCCTGTCTGCGTGCCATAAAGTGTTTTGTCTGATTTTGCAAAGAATCAGACCCAGATGTCATGTCATACAGAGGCATCAGTAATAAATTGAAAGTGTTTCATGACGAGTTAAAAATTCTTTGTAGCTGCTTTAATCATACAGGTTTATGTCATGCAGGCATGTCGACACAATTCACTCTTCCTGTGGTGATTCAGTATCCCACTGATGATAACCTTTTTCTCACCTCTGTTTCTCCTTGGCCACCTGGTCTGGTTGAGTGAGAGGAGACCATGGTAGCATCCCCGTGTGCCAACGCAGCATGCAGTAACCCAGCGACTGCAGGTCACTGCGTCGAGACGGAGCTGAGAGGAGAACACACAGAGTGATGACAACATCTGTTCTCTCTCCTACTTTTACCCTGATACATCAACACCACAAGACAATCCACACTTTTTACACTAAAGATGTCACAATCAATAAAAAAAACCCGATCAGTGTTGTTATGTAAAGCCTGTATGTGCAGACAGATGGAGTGTGGGAGGAGTGCAGGTGCTCCTCATGGAAAGACAAAAATAAATGTGGTACTGTTTGGTTTATGAGAGCTTATAGAGCGAAATGGCGTCTGATTTGCTGACGTTAGTGGGAAAAAGGAATCAGTGAACCACAGGAGTGACTCACCTGCTCCCTTATGTGCATCCAGGCTGATGAACTCCACGGTGCCCTCGTGTGGTGTTCTGCTGGCTTCACGGTACTCTACATGTTGTCCCCCAGGACAGTACCTGAAGGCATGGCAGTATCCTACTAGGTATACCTACCCACACAGACACACACACAAGCAAAGAGCTGTGAATGTAAAACACATCTGAATCATGGACACCGACAGATTAGTCTGAACTTATTAATATTAATATTGCTCACCTGAGATTTCTGTCCTGGTTGGATGTAAATGTTTTCTGCATTAATATCAGCATGAACATACTCGTTTGAATGGATATACTGCAGCACATCCAACTGCAAGGAGAAGGAATGTTGCCATTTATGAACTGAGGGGGAATCGCAGCTCTTTAAGAGTTCTGGATCCTGATTAAAATTAAAAATATTGTCTGAAAAAACATCTATGAGTTTACACTCACTATTCTACAGGCGAGCTGAAGGACAGCTTTCTCCGACAGAAGCTCATTTTCTTCCTCCATGATGGACTGAAGAGACTGGCCCATGTTGGGGAAAATCAGAAATCTACCAAAAAAAAAAAAAAAAAACCTTAAAGAAGAACCCAAAGTTAATGTTAATGTCTTTCATATACCATGTAAATATTCACACCTGTAGGACTCTGCATGGAGACCGAAGCCAACACAGGACGGAATCCCAAGAAAATCCATCTTGTTTTGTTTGATCCACTTTTCCACTAGAAAGACACAATATGATTCAATTATCGTATGTGGTACATGTGTAACGTTACACTCCTGATAAACCAGGGTTGCATCTAGGAAGGATTATAAGTTTAAAGGTGCAGTCAGCGATTCTAATCACACAGCCCTGCCTCTGTAAATGAGACACATTTAAAGTGGCTCGGACTGAGCTTCACAAAACTTTTCCAGCCAATCAGCGATGGGAGGTGTTGGTGGTCGTACACAGGACAGGGGAAAGACCATGAATGTCAAACAGAGCTTCTGAAGGAACACTGATAGGAGGGGTGTATTTGTTTGGGTGCTGAGTTTAAAGATTAAAAAAACTCTAAAACTGCTAACTCCACCTTTAATTTACTCCCAGAGTGCATGTCAATACTTCTGTTGAATACAATGTTGTCCACTTCTGCTTTCCTCTGAACGGATTATGAAAGATATTTTATGTGATATTGTGAAATTAGATCACATGACAAACTGCCAGAACACTTCTCACTGTCTACTTGTTCTGCCTCTGACTGGTTTCTGTTCATCACCTGTTTAAACAGCCAACATAAACACTGAAGTGAATGAGTGAGACAAAATGCTGCTACTATCTTTGTTTTAACAAAATGTACTTCTCTTAAAGGTCTCGTGTGGAGGATTTAGGGACATATATTGGCAGAAATTATATATAATATTCACTATGTTTTCAGTGGTGTACAATAACTTGACAATAACAGTCCTTAAGGTTTTGTTATCTTAGAATGAGCCTTTTATATCTACATACAAAGCGGATCCTCTTCCACAAACTCCGTCATATTGTTTTTACAGTAGACCAGACAAATCAAACTCTGGCTGTTGATAGAGCCATTAGCGTTTTTGCGTCGGCCACCTTTGTTCTCCTACACGCTTGGCACATGGAAGAAGTTTCTGTTTTGCAACCTCACTGCTAGATGCCACTATATCCTACACACAGAACCATAAAGTTATGATCAGAACAATTACAGTCATGGTACGACTGCAGCCAGAAAACCATCACTCTTTCATCAGGGACATTACACCAGTTTTTTTGGAAGTAAAATAAGTGTTGTTTTGGAGGTGAAACACACTAAATCCTCACCAGACGCAGGTTTTGCAGCTCTCTGCAGAAAGTTCTGCTCATTGAAGATTCTTCCATCTTTGGCTCCCTAAAACGAAGACAGGCAAGATAAACTTTATTGATCCCACTCAGGGAAGTCTACGGAGAATGGAGAACAAATAAAAACAACTTGTTGATGAATGCATAAGCAGAGAAATCTATTATTCCTTATATTATGGCACCTCAGTCACACACAGTGAATTTATCACTTTCTGGACGGAGTGCACAGAAGACTACTACAAAAAATCTACTGTAAGTGTTGAAGTGTGTCTTACCAGTTTGAGGATGTGATTTGATTCCATGGCACTGGATCGTGAAGTTGTTTGCAAAACTGAAAAAAAGATGAGACAATATCATTTAATTGTGATAATGAAGGTTCTTCCATTCATTTTTATTTTTTGTAAGAGTCAATTGTGATATCCTGCTGGAGACGACTGCAGCTCTGTCCACTAAGCTAGGTCAGCTGTCTCTTTGTGTATGACTGATGCTGCTTTAATGAACTTAACTGGAAACAAGAGACTGTTGGATACAATTTAACTCATGACTCAGTCAAAATACTGAAAACAAAAACAGAGTTTCATAAAAATACCACTAAAACAAAACAATTTGCCTTGGTGTTTTTTTTAAGGTTTTGGTACACCAGCTATTTTGTAAATGACAAATGAAACATGACAAGTTCACTAGTAGGTTACATATCTTTATTTGTGGTTTGCTGTAATCTGTTGTGTTTTAATCTTTGGCTTTGTATCTGCTTTAAGGTATTTAACAGTAAAAATGATATTATCATTAGAATCAGAATCAGCTTTAACGGCCACATTTGTGAACATATACAATGAATGTGACTCTGATTTTATCAACACTAATATGCAATTCATCTCTCCCAGAGTAACAGACTGTTTAATTGTACTTTGTACACTTTCCAGTCTTTCCTCTGATGTCATGTGCACCATCTCACCTTCATAGATGAGCTCTGACGTGCTCTGACTGAGCAGTGTTCCCAGCTTCCACTTCTTGCCTGTCGTGTCAGTCACCTCTTCACCCTCTTGTAGCGGCTCCACAGCGGGCGCATGCTTTGCCTTCTTGGCTCTGCCCTTTCCTAACGCTGTTCATGCAAACAAACACAACCAATTACGTTGTTTGTATGACGAGAGACAAATTTATTTTCTACACTCACAAGAGAAAACTGTTGCACAACTGTACGGTTTGTCTCTCTGAACTTAATTTGACATCCTCATGTCACAGACACAGTTGATTTTGGGCTCATTTTAAGATGCCTTTTTATGGCATTCAGGTGTTTTCTTCTCACAGCAGTCAGCATAGAGAGACAGAAAACATAGGGAGAAAGGAGAAAGATGGTGTTGCAGTCAGAAACATTTGCTCACCTTTTGAAGGGGACTTGGAGTTTGGTGAGGAATGAGGGGAAGGGATGACCACATGAGAGCTGTCTACCTTTGACTCCTCTGCTTTCCCACATGTTTTATCAGTCAGCCTCTGTCTCTCCTCTATCTGCTTGGCAGGGCTGGAGAGTTTTGCTTTTCCCCTCACTGTATATGGATCCAGCCACGATAAATATAAATTAGAGAAGGAAAAAAAAAAGACAGAAAAGAAGAGAGAGACACTGCATTTTTCATGAGGATTGTATTGTGTTCCAGCTCACCAGTGCGAGGGGATTTCTGGACAGGAGAAGACTTTAGAGCTGGCTCTTTCCCTGTGTTGAGTTTAAAAGTGACTGTGGGCTGCTTCTGTGGAGTTCCACCGAATCCAACACCATTATCTGTTAACACAAATCATAGACTTTTTGTTACAAAGAAAGCCATCAGCTGTTATTCTACTTGCACCTGTACCACCAGTAAGTGTTTCCTGAAGGTTAAAACTACATGTCGCACTGATGGGTTATACTACAGCAACGTAAATAAAAACTTATCTTCCAGAACAGCAAAGCAGAGCAGCTGCTTCCAGACCATTTTACTGTATTACCTTTGATCCTGTCATCTTTGACAGGACTAGTGGAGTAGGGCACCATGGGTGAAGTGGCATCTTTAATGTTGATTTCAACTTCCCTGTCAAGACGGAGGGAGTTTCTGGTCTTTTTCAGCGCAGGACGAGGTGTAACTGGAGTTGAGGTGTTACATGCAAGAGAGTTTACATTTCCAAAGGTTCCAAAGTCTAAAGTCTATATTTAGCACTAAGTAACTCTAAGTAAAATATTGTCAAGATATTTACCCGTGCTTCCTGTGGGTTCGTAGCTTGTGCTTGAAGCAAGACTTGATTTAACTAATGATACTGCTGTTTCCTCCCTTCTGGGTGGAGAGAGACTTAGAGACGCTGTCGAGCTCACAGGTCCAGATTCATCGACAAGACAGGGAAGCTTCTCCCCACATGATGGACAAAATTTGAAATCAGGCTTCAACTTTGTCCCACACTGAGGGCAGAAATGGAAAGGCATTCTGCAAGAGTAAACACACACACATTATCATTAAACTGTTCTCACCACCTCAAGTGTAAGTATTCTGTGTGTGTGTGTGTGCATGCTTGTAGATGAACCACACAAATACACACACATACAAGCTATTATTGTACAGTGCCTGATGCTTTGTCAGACAACAACTGGATAAATCACCTAAAACCATATCATCCAGAGTAGATGTCTTACCCAGACTGGTCAACATGGATGATTACAGTCTCTGTGTGAATTTAACTATCACAACCAAGACAAATGTGACTTATGAACAGTCATTAGCATTGAATACTAACTGGACTTGATTACATAGGCCCAAGAGTTACTCTGTGTATCGACAGCTGTTTATTCCTCAGTCACGCAGAGACATGATGTCCGTTGCCATAGAGATAAATGTTCTGATAATGGTTTACCAATATCAGAACAAGGCAAGACTTGGCTTCTCATAAACACATCCAAATCCAACTAATTTAACTACACTAAATGTGAAGAAATGTTTTTTTTTTTATTTCAGTCAAAAACGGTTAACAGTTCCTGAACTAAAAAACGAATTAGCTAACTAACGTTAGTTTAGTCAGGTAACGTTACCATTAGCACTTCAGTGGCAATATGATGGATAAAAGAGTCGCAACTCTGCACTTAAAGAAATCAATTTGAGCTAAAGGTCGTGTGTGTTTTCTACATTAAGTTATCTGAGCTTGAATGTTGACAGGAAACAATCCAATGACTCAACAGCTCGACGGTAGCTAGCTAATACAGAAACGAAACTAATGCAAAATAAAAATTTGAATGGTGAGTTTTAGCGGAAGTATCGTCTTGTGGCCACTTCCTGGTTTTGGCTTTTGGTAAAACTGGCGCCTGAATAAAATACATGTTTGCACTTTATGATTATAAAGTTCAAAAACAATTTAAAAGTATGTCAGGTACCTCTAAACACTCCCGCAACGATCAGCCTGTCGTTGATGGTGCTTCTTCTTCTTCTGTTGTTGTTTGAGCCGTGCATATGACGTACAGGGGAGGTGCTGCCCCCTGCAGGAGGTAAAGACAGTTACAGCCAGGCTGTTGACCCATATTCAAAGAGGTGAAACTTTGCTCTCAGAAAACTTTTCCACAGCTGATGATGTGATGAGGATGTAGTCTGAATACAGAATGGATTCATAAAGTTTTGTCAACAATTATAACATGTTATCATGAGAGACTTCCATGTGCCTTTATCTACAGCACATTACAAATTACATCCAGTCTTTAAACTGGCAGCAAAAGGTCTCCAGACAAACTGTAGACAATTTCAAGATGACCTGAAGAAATGCGTGTCACTGTTTTAAGTTGTAAATTTACTGTAAAAAGAAGGAGAGCAAACCAATCTATGCACTTCAAATTTAGGCTGCAGTAACATAAAAAACAAACATGAGGGTGTTGAATATTTAATACAATATGGTGATGATGATATTCTGTGTTGTCTTATTAATGGCACACACAACAGAATAATACTATCTATAAATAGGAGCTGGTATCAGTTGTACTTGTACACAGCTCTCAGTCAACATTGTCATGGTTGACTATATAAAATGAGACACTGCTTCAAGGAATACATAAATAAAAATGTTTATTTCTGGACATAATTTACATATTTTGCATATGAGAATGTATGGCACAATTGAAAATATGAAATATTTCAGCATAGTCTTATTAATATAATCAAATTTCAATAAATTTTAGTGGCATTTTCAGATCTGTGGTTGAACAAGTTATTGGAAAAAACATACTCATTTGTCTAAACTAAAACATCACATTCACCCTTTGATACAGCAAAGCCTGACAGTGTAATACAATGAATGTGTGTGAAACTATCAAATACAGTAGGGATAAATTTTCTCACAAAAATATATGTGTTTTATTAAACCTAAATACTCTTCATTTTATAAAACATCAGTGGTATTATAAACTGGTTTCACTGTCTTACTATATAAATATTGCCAATAAAAAAAAGTCTGGGCTTGGCATTTTTCTCAAAATTAACAAATTCAACAGCCTACATGTTAGCATGGTCACATTAACACCTGAAACAAAACAATCTCCATCCAATCATGTAACGGGGCAGCTCTTTTCATGGCATCAGAATCAGAAATACTTTATTGATCCCCGGGGGGAAATTATTTGTTACATCCAGGGTTTTTATAGAAAATGGGTTTAGCTGAGGCCATAAGCCACTCAGATCCTGATGCATCTTGTCACGATACATTTAATTAGTGGCTGACGGCCCAAACAACAGCCACACTCACGAAAAACATGGCATTTGCTATGTAAAATAGCACCATTACTTATTTTCCCTGAAGTCGGATGTTTTATTTGATACAAATTAATTTATTTTTTTATAATGCCAGCAGCAATAGTCATTGTTCTAATGATATAAATATGACTAATATTCATATGTTATCATCCTGGGGCCTAGGTCAAAGGTTTGAGTATCCAGGATCTCGCCTGATTTAAAACTGTCGGCATTGTTACAGGTGAATAATGATAAAAATGAGCAATAAAGAAGACTGAAGATCAGCTGTACTTTAACTGGCATGTTCACAAAACCTCTTTCTTTAAAATATAATAAGAGAATTTGAAAGTATATTATTTACTTTTGCACGGGTCTTCTTAAACAGTAGGATGATCGACTTGAATCACCTGCCTTCCTGAGTTACTGCTCAGTTTTTACTTTGACATATTTATTCCTCTTATCAAACCACTGAGCTCACTCAATAATTGTCCAAACCTGTCACTGTACATTATGAAGTGTTGTTGACTTGGTCAAACTGTATTCTATAATTCATGCTATGGCAACAAACAAGCACAGATTGATTTAGAGAAGGAAATACATGAGTGTTAATTGTCCATCTGGCTAATGTTAGATGGTCAATGCAAGCAATGTTTTCTGGCAGTGGCACTGTGGGACAGCAGTATTCAGCTGGACATTCAGAAAAGCATCAGTAGTATACAATTAAAAGTACATCCATAGCAAATTTCTCTCCCCAAATAAACCGTGACTGCAGGTGTGACAGTCAACATTTATCTGACTGTACAAAGAGAAACAGAAGGCACTTCTTCCTTTGAGTTAACTGCAGTGTGAATCTACGCTAATCTTACAGAAAGTAAAGAGTATTAACAGTGTATTTATAGCACATCTGGCAGGACACCTGAAACTATGATCAGCAGGTCTGACTGATCAATAAAGTTGGACATTTCAGCCAGGCGTCATAAGAAATAAATATCCCACACTCCAATATGAATCAATTATTCAAAAGACCCATCGTATGAATTCAAATGAAATGCCCACATTCAAAAGGCACTTATCTCTCCACTGACAAATAATACAGCACGTCAATGACAGTATATCAGTAATGCTGCACTGCTTAAGGGGCAATGGACGCAAATATGTCAAGTTTCACCTAACACAATATATATGTGTATATATACTGTATATACTCCCACTGTTAAACTTGGACGTCTTCCTATTTTCCTGCAGTATTATGGGCACAGATACGTAACCATCATCATTGATTCTAACATGCACATTTGCTCCTCTCAGAGCCCTCTGAGATGTCGGGGTTGGTGGGTCCATTAACTCGAACGGTCCCGTCAGGGATCCAGGACTTGTCGACACATCGTTCCATCCTCTTCATGATAAGATCCAGCAGGACGTCCACAGCCTGGTTGACGTTCTGCCCATTTGCAGCACTTGTCTCAAAGTATGGGATTCTGCATGGAAGGAAATATTGGTGACATTAAACACAGGATAAAAGAGTACTGCTACCGGTTACAACGTGGCACAAACCAAGGCTGGAGTTATTCTATGTTTTCATCTTTAGTCCTATAAAAAGACAAAAAATGCAATGAACTTAAGTCAATTTCTCAATACTTTCAACTTCCTCTGCCTTCTGTGTCGCTGTCAAACTCATTTATTCCTACTGAGGATGTAAATCTATAAAAACACGTCACCAAATATATGGTTTCTTTCTTATTTCTTTTAAGGCTCAGCTTTTTACTAAAATACAAATGCTGTCATATACTGTGTGAATTTTTTGTCTTAATTAGCGTTTGAGTTCTTGAGTTGTGGCCAAAAACATGTTTTGTGAGGTCACAGTCCCCTTGACCTTCGACCACCAAAATCTAACCAGTTAATCCTTGAGTCCAAGTGGACATTTGTGCTTAGTGTAATGAATTCCCGAAAGGCGCTCCTAAAATTTGGCGTTCACAAGAATAGGACAGTCAGACTGACGGACAAGCCCGAAACATAATGTTTCTGGCCAGTGCTGTCACTGGCGCAGAGTCATAAAAATATAGAACATCGTCAGTCTTATTTTTAAAACTTCAAACACATAGATCATACAACATGGTGCTCCCATAAGTATCAAAGCACTGAAATACAGGTGAAAGTTTATTTTATAAATTTGTATGTTTTCACAAAATCAGCCAAAACCAAATATATTTGTGGAGACGTCATCATACAGGCTAATGGCTGAACATTTCAAGATAATCAGAGACAATGTGTAATGTGCAGCAGAATCAGCTCGGGGTGATATGTTACTAGTAGTAGTGTTTTTATTGAGTCATCACACATAATACTTTAAGTATAAACAAAATCAACAACCTATATATTAAGTAGTGACTGAAAAGGCTCAGGCAGAAGCAAAAGCTTATATATGCCTGTCCTACAGTCATATCAATTTCAGCTACCCCCCAAGAATAAAATAAAAATAAATCATTCAGACTTGTCATTCTCAAAAATACCTTTCTGGACCATTCTTCTGAAAACCTATTTGCATTATTTCATAATATAATTATAACGGTCCGGGAGGCAGACACCGTCTCCACATTTAAGACTAGACTTAAGACTTTCCTCTTTGATAAAGCTTATAGTTAGGGCTGGCTCAGGCTTGCCCTGTACCAGCCCCTAGTTAGGCTGACTTAGGCCTAGTCTGCCGGAGGACCCCCCTATAATACACCGGGCACCTTCTCTCCTTCTCTCTCGTATTCTATTACTGCATCTTGCTAACTCGGCCATTCTGGATGTCACTAACTTGGCTTCTTCTCCGGAGCCTTTGTGCTCCACTGTCTCTCAGATTAACTCATATCGCAGCGGTGCCTGGACAGTGTGACGTGTGTGGTTGTGCTGCTGCCCCGTGGTCCTGCCAGATGCCTCCTGCTGCTGCTGCCATCATTAGTCATTAGTCATACTTCTACTGTTATTATACACATGACTATTGTCACACATGTATACTGCCAGATATTAATACATACTTTCAACATATTGTACCACAGTAGCCAGAACTATAATATTATTACTTTCAATAATGTTGTTGTAAGCTACTGTCATTACCTGCATCTCTCTCTCTGTCTCTCTCTCTGTCTCATTGTGTCATGCGGATTACTGTTAATTTATTATGCTGATCTGTTCTGTACGACATCTATTGCACGTCTGTCCGTCCTGGAAGAGGGATCCCTCCTCAGTTGCTCTTCCTGAGGTTTCTACCGTTTTTTTTTCCCCGGTAAAGGGTTTTTTTTTGGGGAGTTTTTCCTTATCCGCTGCGAGGGTCATAAGGACAGAGGGTTGTTGTATGCTGTAAAGCCCTGTGAGGCAAATTGTGATTTGTGATATTGGGCTTTATAAATAAAATTGATTGATTGATTGATTGATAATATACAAAATCGTGTTTTAGGAATTTAAATACAGTGCATTAGTGCGATCAAAGTGACATTATGTATGGCTCGTTTTTGTAGTAAGACTATCTATGAGGTTTATTCCTCTCCCTAAGGTATGTAAAAGACTTCACACAGGGCATTTCCACTATAATGTATGTGTTTTTAGTAAAGGTGTGTCTACCAGGGTCAGAGCAGGATATTTCACACGTGTGCACAAATATTTGCTTTTCCAGGAGGACCAATTTAGTCTGACATTCTCCTGCACAGACTTTGGCAAACAATGCAGGCACTGCCTTCTTGACAAATAACTGAGGGAGAGGTCCATGTGCAGATGGATCAAAACTGAGACATACCCATATTTCTCTGCCAGCTCACGGGCCTCCTCTTCACTCACTGCTCTCTGGTCTGACAGGTCACATTTGTTGCCACACAAAACGACATCTGGACTCTCGCAGTATGCATGAATCTGTAACTGACCTGGAAGACACATTCAGAAATTTTAAAAGCATAAAGTCCTGTTTTAATGTGTGATAAGTTTGCTTTTGAGAAAGATATAAAGCCATCTTTAATGTATTATATTCACATGAAATAGGAAAGTTGAGCGGAGTAGCAGCAGTAGTTCAGCTCACAATAACACAGAGAGAGAGACTTATTCATAACTAGAAGATTATGAGTTTAATCACACAATATTTTGGGTCATCATCGACTGAAAGTATGTTCAAAAAGGAATTTATTACTGTCAAGTCTGCTGTGCACTTGAATTTGTCTTAGGTAAAATAATTTAATAGGATAAAAGTGTACGTTCAGAGTGATGTATCAGAAGACATACTCATCCAGTTTCTGACATTGAGGAAACTTTGTTCATTTGTGAGGTCGAACAGGAGGAGGAAACCCATTGCATCTCTGAAGAAGGCAGTCGTCAAACTCCGAAACCTGGCACCATTCAGACATGAGAAATATTATAAATAGTGAAAAGGTACATTTGAAACAAGAGCGGGCTGGAGTTAGGTAAGAAAGCACTGGTAGAAGTCCTTCATGTACCTCTCCTGTCCTGCAGTGTCCCACAGCTGCATGTGGATCTTCTGTGCTCTACCTGAAGATCCATCTGGACCTGTTGATTTGTACACCTGAGTGAAACAGAGACAGGTGAGGTCAAACTAGCTGAATATTCTCTACACTAAATATACCTGCTTTTAAATATTATCTTAAACAGCTATAAAACAAAGTCGGTTGTGTTGTGGGAAAAAGGCTTGTGGTTACTGACTGAGTGTCGTTTAGCAGGGCTGCACATAAATAAACAAAAAATAAAACAGGAAAGACGAGGCATACTTGGCAACATCCATCCAGCTGCTCGTGTTAACTAACTAAATAAGCTATCTTAAGAGGAAGAATGTTTTTGCGCTCTGGCTTTTTACAGTAGCTTGTACTGATAGTGTATTTGCTTAGTTCACTTTAGAGGTGCCGTTGTGGTAAAGAGAAATATATGCCATAAAACAATGACAAAATAAACACAAAATAAAAATGGATTTAAGGCTGACTTGACTTAATAAAAGAGCAATAAACTTTAAATGTACAGCCACTGTCAGTGTGGGTTTTTATATTTAAAGGTCCCATATTATATGCTCATTTTTAGGTCCATAGTCATGTTTTGGGTTTCTCCTACAACATGTTTACTTTACAAACAGACTAACAAACATACATAAAAGCCAGACTTGACTGAAATAAATACAAAATTAAGCCTATTACATAAACAGACAGGAAAAATGGCCAAGAATAACAAAACATGGTGCAGTGTGGACATCAGCTAATAGATGGTGAATTAAGGTGCCCAACTATTGGGCCCCAAATAATCCCAGAGACTAGTTCCCTGAGCCATCTAGAGAAATGGGGAGCACTGTTTACATGCTTGAATGTAAACATGTTTTTCTCAAACTGTCAGCCTGAATATACCTGTATTCACCCTCTGTCGGTGTGTCTGGGTCATTGGCATCTGCACTGTCTGTGCCTCTGCACCGTCATCACAGCAGGGGGAATGAATGTAATGGCTCTTTCTATCCTTGTAGGACGCATTCAAACTGGCGCTATTTGGTCTGCTTTAAGAAAACCCTGGTCTGCTTCCATGGAAAGTTCGGTTCGTTTGGAGTGGTGTGAACGCTCATTCGAACTCTGGTGCGGACCAAACAAGCGAACCCTGGTCCGCTTGAAAACTGGAGGTCTCAGCTCACTTGCAAGTGAACCCTGGTGCAGTTCGCTTACAGTGGGAAATGCAAACGGACTATCCAGTGAAACAAAACAAAGCCAACAGTGCGAATAGGGAGAATCAGAGGTTGGAAAATGTCTCGTGGGCAGATGTGGAGTAGTGAGGAGGTGCAGGCGCTTACTGATATATGGTCAGAGGACTATAAATTGCAGTTATCAAGCTGGCTGAAGGGGATTTTTTCAGTCCTGGCCAATCGATGAGCCAGGTTTTCTTCTTCCTCATGTTTTTTTTTTTTTTCTGGTCAGTGGTCGTTTCGGGCAATACTGCCCGCAAACGAGCAGCTGTTGTAACTGCGTGATGTTGTCCAGATGGTTTGGTCCACTTTAAAAAGTGCAGTGTGAAAGTGAACCGAACCAAATGAAGGTGTGAAATTTCTCGGCATTCCCCGCCCAATCGAACCGAGTCCCCCAGACTGTCCTGGTGTGAATAGACTGTTTCACTGGAACTGCATTGCCAGGCAACAGCTCAAGTCCCTGTTTACTTCCTGTCAGCTCATGTCCTTCACATACCAAACAAAACATTCAAATAGCAAATACAAAGAGATTCATTTAGAGTGTTTATGTTTTCAAGTTTGAGACGATATGTATAGCAAAGTTGTGACATCAATGGCTCATTTAAAGGCCATTTCTGAATACAGACTGTGAACATTTCTCTATGGATTGAGCATTTTGATACTCTTTTAGTATTTATATATCATCTATACCTGCTTTATGCTAAAAAGACATTGAAATGTGACTTTTACAATATGGGACCTTTAATTTTGAGTCACGTTCTGTGATCACATACTGAAACATAGTCACTGAAAATGACAGCTTTCATAGCGTATTGTCTATTTGTATGCCAGCATCTGACAAAGCTGACATCAAAACATCCGAATCAAAACTTGAATTGTATTCTGTTGATAATCTCACATTACATCAGTGGTTTAAAAGATTTAACTAGGCAGCTTGTTATTTAATTTTGAGCTTCAATCGCAGCATAACTGATGAGCTCCTTCCTGTTAAACAACTTTGTTTGATCTCATTTTAAAAACATTTCTAATCCATACATGAAAGAGTTTCCACTGATTTGAATTAATCATAAAAGATTAGCAGCATCAATGTGGTGTTTCATGGTAAGATGGATGGCAGCTGCTTGTAGAAATTAAGACACATCTGTGTTATAGGATTTTCATCTGACAGTCTAGGAAGTAACTTGAGGTCACACAGACTAAACTGCAGATATTAATTAATTGAAATATTATCCACATCTTTTCTCTGATCTATTCAACAGTGCATTACTTCTGGTGGTTGCAGTAAACACTTCACCAGCACAGGAAGCAACTGAAACCCATTATAGATTAAAAGTGGTGTTTAGCGTAGCATTGAGTCTTGGTGCATGCTGTTGCTAGCAGATGTGTGACTGTGACCACTGGACAGGCAGCCGCAGTGTTAGTGGTGTATCCATCTCATTATACATTTAATATAACGTCATGGTCATTTCATGGACCAGGAAACAGCGACTGACTGGTGATTAATTTTTACACTAAATGGATTTCTACAGTCAGAGGCAGGAAGCACAGCTCTGGGTTGTCTGAGGACGCACTATAACTACTTGTTGTGCTGTTGACAGCTAATTAGGATATTTACAAAAGCTTTTCTGTAAGTGCAACTTTTTAAATCACAGCTGTCAAACATTTTAAATGTTTTCTGAGAATATTCACTTGCTGTATATTTATCTTTTATCAGAGATGGTGGAAATACTTCTAATAAAAGACTGTCAATGGTGATATTCAGTGACTTAATATAAATCATCCTGGACTGACTAAACCTCCAGTGTAGCTGTGATAAAACTGTTATCAGATTATATCCCTGGAGCTTTAGGTCAGTAGCATTAAACATTGAGTAAATATGAACACTGCTCAGCTGTTTGCCAATGGTATGAAGTGTTTATTCTTGAGGAGGGTGCTGCCTGCCGTTCACCAACATTAGTCATTACTCGGATTTCTGTTGCGACATTCATAAGAAGCCTTTGTTACAAGAGAGTTACTTAATGGTGTGGGAATGCACTTAAACCCCTAATTAGGTAGCTAGAAATACATGCAGCACACATGGACACAAGGAAATGTTAAGTTAGAGGTGCAGAGCGTAAAATCCACGTGTCTTTTTACTGAATGAAAGAAATCCATACAATTCTGGTGCAGGCCTTCGTTCAAAGTCGACTGAACTTACCACTCTTTTTTCTCTGAAGTCTATCCCAACTGTAGTGATGAACTTGGAGTTAAACTTGCAGTCTGTGTATTGGTAGAGGAAGCTCGTTTTTCCCACGCCGGAGTCACCGAGGGCTAGGAATTTGATGAGGTAATCATAGTCCCCATCAGACATAGTGAGTGCCTAATTTCTGAAACATGCAAAACAACTCAGTCAGACAACAATCACACTATTTGGCAAAGACATAAATGACAAAATTAAAGTGGTATTTGTTTTTGCCCCCTCAATGACACAGTGAAGACGGCGACATTGTGAAGCTATGACAGAAGGATCACGTCCATGGTGACAAAAACTCACACACTAGTCTACTTCACCCAAATCATACAAACATCAAGGATGCTTAAAATGCCCAAAGCACTTCAAAACACATAATTGAGCCACACTGTCATATGGGGTGACAAAATCCCTCATCACAAAGTACACGGGCACTGTAGTTTATTTTAACTCAATCCTCCATACACGTTTTTGCTGCTGTACACACTCACTAGCATGCCAAATGTGTATTCATCCACCACTAAAAATAGTCCCCAACAAATGCACTATTTACTCTTGTTTGAGCAACATTTGCTAAAAAACCCAAACCCCAGCTGTTTAAGAAAATTAGTGAGCCTTTTTTGACAGTTAAATTATATTTTTTTGGCCAATTTTTAAGCCTTCAGACAGAGATGGGAAGTTGGAAAGTCTAAAAAATGTTGGTTTTAGTATTTTCATGGGATTTGTTGACAATAAAAAACACCAGACTCATCCTTTTGTCTAGGTAAGAGTAAAAAAAATATCAGTGTGTTACATAAACGTTTTCTAAAGAGCAATGACGTACATCGAGGAACTTTTGAAAGCACTATATGACATAATGTCATGTCTCAAAACTCAACTAACCAATGAGAGTGATAGCAGGCTGAGTCGTCCTGCCCTAACAGGTGCAACAAAACTAACAGGAGAGGCAAGACGATGTCGTGCAAGTCCAGTTTGTACAGTATGTAACCACACCATCCTGAGAGGAGGTCTAATCAGGTGTGGAAACATCTGTGTGGGTGGATGATAGCGTCAGGGCTTTAAGATCTGTCTCTCAAGTTGGTAGAGATCATTTAGGCAAAACATCTAATACTATGTTCGATAAACAATATAATTTTGAGTTCTTCCACAGAGTGAAGGTGATGCACATCGGAGGGACTTATTCCCTCAGTCTGCTTATGCCATTATGTCAACCCCGCACGGGGGTTTTGTCTGTCGTCTTTCCAGTCCAACTGGTTAATTCAACAGGATGCAAATTAAATTGAATGAGACTACTACTACGGCTACTATCACCTCTACATGAATTCTGTCGCCACTCTAGTTCCTGCTAACAGCCAAAAAACCATTGCTAAAACACATCTGTCTGCTAGTTTTCTGATGTACAGTTGCACAAGAACACCATTTCCTAATATTTTATGTAACCACAACACTACAAAAACTGGAAATTGCTCACACCATTTTGAAAAATGGCAATGCACTTTTTCCCTTTTAATCTGGGGCGTTGGTACCAATGGATAACTTAAGTCGTCTCATTTTATATGATACTAATATCTTCAATGTAGCTTTAAAACTGAGCCTGCCTGGCTCCTCATCTTTGCAACGTTCAGCTTTGATTGTCGTCATTCTTTTTTGAGCCCCTGATTTTTGGTGAGGCGTTCCTAAGTTAGTCACGCTGCAGTTTGTTTTATATCTTTACATTAGAAGCACTTGTGTGTTCTGCAAATGTAACTTTCGCAATAACTGCAGCGGGTGGGGTTTCAGATGACAAATTTAAAATGTGCTTTAAAAATAACAAAACATTTTTTTTACCATGTACATACATATAAGTTGTATGGTCAGTAAAGTGATGTAAAGTCATGTGCTTGATCTCATGAATGCACCCTGAGGTGAAGGAAAATAAAATGATTCTCCCTGAGATTGTTTTTTTTTTTTTTGGACTTCAAGTGTAAATAATATGCTTATGTGCACAAAGACAGCATAAAATAGAGCTTGTTTATCAGAAAAAAGTGCCAAGGGAGATCCCCCACACCCTCCCACAGAGGTGCGGCCTAAGCTCCAGATGTCCTCAAATCCTAAACGCCCCTGCGCATACCTGACCTGCACAAGGCTGCTATGCCAAGATTTGCCTCTTGGCAAAGATGTGTGAGAACAATACACGCCAAAAGGTTGAAAACAGGCAATTCATTTATTTTCCATCCTGATAAATATTACTAATATTTGTTTAATAACTCATCCCTGTCTCTTTGTAAAAGCTGAGTATCCCTCGACTAAGACTATAGCGGTACATATTTTCCTACACAATGAGAAATAGAAGCGCACCATAATATCTGCTGGATGAAACATTTTCACTTGACACGGTCGACTAATTCCAGTCCAAACATTTAAAAGAAAGCAAGGATGTATCATATGACCAGCTCGTACAAAAGTCTTCAGACGAGTTTTACATTCTTTCACTGTAACCCCCGCTGAACCCTTCATCTGGAGCCATAAGCAGCTTAAGGTCTCGTGCAAAGTCAGGATCCATGATGAATGCACTGTGGAGATGGTAACCACGAGCACTGATGGGGCTATAAATGGTGAGCAAACACCGCCGAGCCCCTGAACTCTGAAGTGTACATTCCTGCATGTGGGCCTGTATTTACTCAGGTAGGTTAAAAGTTATAAATTAGGTTTTAGTTTAGTCTTTACTGGTGAGTCTTCATCGTATGGTTTACTCTGTTGTAAAGCACTTTATAACAGTTTTCAAAAATGCTTTACATATCTATTTTTATCTCCCTCTACAAGGCAAGGCAACCATCAAACACACGCAGTTCAGATTCCTACACCACTCTGTTATCAATAAAAATAAATAAGATGTAGCTATTATTAAGTGGTGAAACCCACAGAGAACTGTAACTTGCTTCATTTTGGTCTGTAAAAATCAGGTTTTTCAGATCACAACATTCCCACCTTTACATTTTCAAATGAGCCAGATGGTTAATTCGCTAAAAACTCACAACTTCCTAAGGCATCTTATCTTTCATGACACCACCTTCCTCTTATCGTGCACTCAGAAGGCCCACTGATGCACTTACATCTGGTTGTTAGGTACAACTAGCTATAATCATCACAGGTTTAGGTGAGGGTCCTGGTATTATGCATGCATCAAAGGAATGGCAACTCATTAATGGAACTGATTCATCATTTATGTTACTAGTAACATCTGTCATGTCATAGAAAGTCAAAGCGTCTGCTGTGGAAACAATTATTCTGACTGCTTGTAATTTCTTTTACTACTCAACTCACTGACATTATTATTGAATACCCTTCACAAAACTTGAGTCAGTATTGGATTTCTGTTTCAATGAAAACAGGTCACAGCATGACAAGCAAAACCACACTGCTAGAGATGGCCTACAGATTATGTCAGCAAATTTCTGCAGACTATTATCAGGCTCATCAGATGACTTCTCACTGAGCCCCAAATGCAAACACGAAATGGTATAATCTCACGTTGACAAGCGACTGTTATAATGTAAAGAAAGCAAATGTTCATGCATATTATGTCTAGTGCACAAAGCTGTGCAAAAAACGAAACGTTTAAGGCCATTCCCCAGCCATGTTTGCCAGTCCTATCAAAACCATGAAAAGGAAGTGAGCTCAGATGGCAGAGTACGATCTTCCGTTGTGTCAGGCAAGAAAACAGCGAGTGCAGTAAACAAATAGAAAGAACAAGAAGTCTTATCTTAATTGCCGCCTTACATAAACCTTTCTGAAACAACCATGTCCCTAACAGGCGTCTTCTACTGGATGTCTCCTAATGAAACATAATGACGCTGGTTTGACATCAAAGGGCTGACATTAAGAAAGCAAGAAGAAGAAGACCTTTCTAAGATTCCATCGCTGCCTGTGGTTGAGTGGTCTCCCAATTACCATCTTAATGCATCAGCTTTCTGTAACTATCTTTTATGCCTTAGAAGTAATCTAAGTTAAGCTAATTCGGGTTAAGAGGAAATAACAGTGGACAGTCAGTGTCATGTTTCCCAAAACCTTTTAACAGCAAACAAACAAGGCCCTGTTGTACTACCACATTACGACATCTCGTAATACATTACCCCCTTAATAAGAGAGGGCCTCACAAGCAGCAGATAAATGGCAGTCTTACACTGAGTGTGACGCTTAACTTAACCAAATTTAGTGGTGATGGGTTATCAATTATTCTGACATATGCTCTGGGAGGATGGATTGGAGATGTGTTTATCATTCTTAATTGATAAGAGATACACCAATATATGGGCATATTGAGTCTATCAGTCAATAGAGTTCTGCAGGGATGAAGTTTTTTTGTAGGCTGGCCTGGAAGTTAGCACTGCACTGGTTCCCTTAATAAGAAGCCAATAAAATTTTGGGATGACTGCAGAAAATAAGCTCTACAACAAAAATTTATGGTGCACACATTTTGCTCACCAAGATAATCTTCACAAATGAACAACACTTTTATGATTTTTGAAGCTTAAATGCAATAGCCAGAGGTGAAAAGCTAATGTTAGAATATAAACGAACCACACTACAGTCGCATGACTTCAACATCGCCAACACAACAAGGCTGTAAAGGTGCGATGTCGTCCTGTAGTCTCATGTAGCCACTTGTTAGTGTCCGCCTTTTTTAAGACATGTAAAAGCTTCAAATTTAATTAGTGGGGTATTTTATGACGAACTCTCTTAAACATGTGTTAACCACAGACCTTATTTCAGGCATCTAACCAAAAACCATTCAAATAACCCATTGACTTGGAGTACAAAAATGCCCACTCATTTCTGCATTTTAGGACTCATTCCCCCATCACACTTTATCAGCTTTACTAAGAAAAATCAGTATCTTGTATTTTTTTAGTGCCCTTGGTGGAACCAATATTTTTTGAGTTTTCTCATTAATGGGAATCATTTGACAAACACAGTCTGTTAGCTGACAGAGAAACTATCTATGACGGCAGTAGTATCCTCAGAATTTATTTGACAGCGCACAGTGATTGAGTTAATGTAACTGGTGGAAGCACGTGAATTTGACGATAATATTGAAAAAGAAACTGTATTTAATGTGGGTTGGTCACATCTGACTGATACCAGATCCACTTATTAAGGTCAGTATCAGTGCCGATGATCAATCCGTGTATCAGATTAGTGCATCCAAGGCTGTAACCGATCAAAGCAGTCAACTGCCATAAGACCGGGAAAAAGCTTCACACTCACCAAATGGCAATCAGATCAGGCAATTAAATTATTGTGGGCTGCTGTGGCTCAGGATGTGAGCGGGTCGACACCTGATCAGAAGATTGGTGGTTTGATACCTGGCTCCTCCAGTCTGCTCGTTGAAGTATCATTGGGCAAGACACTGAACCCCAAATTGCTCTTTATAGCTGTGCCATCGCTGTGTGACTGCATGCATCTGCAGGTGTCTAGGTTAAAAACTGTATTGCAGGTGGCGCCTCGTATGGTAGCTTCAACCACTGGTGTGTGAATGTGTGTGTGAATGAGTGTATGTGACTGTGGTGTAAAAGCACTTTCAGTGGTTGCAAGACTAAAAAGGTGCTACACAAATACAAGTCCCTTTACCAAAAATAACTGTTTGCCGCTACTGTATGTGCCATTTAAGATAAACTGTTACAGTAGGAGCCTTAAACAGCTGCACTATTACACAATGTTGAGCCCCCCTGTTGTAGAGGGGCCCTTAGTTAAAATCTAGTTACAAGACCTTTATTATTTCAGTATATAATGTGGTTACATGGTCCATTTTATTTTAAAAATGTGTGCCTCCTTATTTTACCACAAACTAATTACCAACTAATGCATTTACAGTGTGTTAAAAGTGGGAAAAACTGGATCAAAAGGTACCCACATTGCATTTTTGCCCTGAGGCACCATTGTGGCTTGATCTGGCCCTGAGTGCATCACTATTACAAACTGAATAAAAGTAAAATGGTCTTGTTTTTTCAAGCATCTTAATTACTTTAGTATGTGGATGTCTGAAAACGTTAACCTGTGTTGCACCTGCATATGCACTACTTCATGAATAAAATCTGGGTCTGATACAAGTGTGAGAAAATACTGGATGCCGTGTTGTCTTCAAAAAATTGTCTTTTTATGGGGAAGTAGGACTACACAGTGTTGTATTGTCTTAATCACAATAACAGGACTGGTCTAATTTATTTTCAGACATTTTGACAGGACTTAAGTCACTATTTAAGTTGATTAGATCTGTTACATGATTGTTTTAGAAACTCTTTATGATTTAATAATTGCATTACTGTTAAATTCTGATTTTGCGGCATGTTTGTCTTCTGTCTTGTGTTGTTATTTTTACATTCTTAGGCCAGGACTCTCTTTAAAGAGCTTCTTAATCTCAATGAACGCCTTCCTATTTAGATAAAGTTTAAATAAACTTTTATCTACATCAGTATCTGCTGGAATTTTCTCCTGCACTGGGAGTTAACCCAGTAGCTGTGTTTGTCAGACCAAATACTACCACCCATGCATACCAGCAAACAAAATGCTGCTTTAATCATTTGTCAGAGAGAAGTGGAAGACCCACCCTGGGCAGCTGTCCAACACACAGGCCAGCTCCTTAGGAAAATCCGGATATGCACATACCATAAACTTGAAAGGGTGCAGCACTATTGTGATGTACAGCTCAGAATAAAATCAAATGATTAGATATAGACACCATGTTTCTTTAAGACTCCTGGCTGCCAGAGCTGGGGACTATCTGGTCATTAAAATAGCTTGTGGGGAGTTATCTGCAGCAGGCAGTGTGAGGCACATAAAACTTTATCAAATCGATTAACCGACACAAATACAACAATATAATGACCCTCAGCTGGTCCTCATGTGGCCGTCAGTGGTGGTCAGGAGGCCTGTTGGGCAAATATAACCCCTTTTGTTTTACTTAGGAGACTAAATAGGATGCCAACTTTCCAGCGTCCTCTGTCAGCCAACATATGGATCCAAACTTGTCTAAACACTGTGATAAATATTAATAACACGACCTTTTTGGAGGACATGTTTTCTTGCATGTATGGTTATTGAGCAAGTGTTGAAGAAGCTAACAACTGTGAGAGGAGGCAGGTGTCAAAATGTGTCCCAAAGCCAGCTCTCTCTTGTGTGGAGGTACATTTAACAAGTTCCTCAGCAGGCAGAAAGCCTGTAACTAACGCAGATAACCGAGTGAATCAAAGTTAAAATAAAACTTTCCAGCCCCTCGCTAACTGCTGACAGATGCTACAGACGGATTTGTTCGACTGACATTTCCTGAAAACCCTCAAATGTTCACATACTCACCAGCCCCGGGGCGTTGCTGCTGCGCACTGAGTCCTGGTGTTAGTGAAAGTGTTTAAAAGTCACCGGTGAAGACTTTACCGAGAGGTGAATAAAGGATAACGTTACTTTCTGTGGGCCATTAGTTGACATGAGCTTCATTAACAGTGAACACCTCCTGTAGTCTCCGTGGTTGTAGAGAAACAGCTCCTCCTCACGGAACCAGCGGCCGTTTCATGATTCACAGCTAACAGTTAGCTAACTGAAGAGGAAACACCAGCCGTTAACGTTACACCCCCGGAGGCGGAACACGGAGGCTGCTCAGGGTAGACTGACTATACTCACTTTTTTCCACTTCATGCTGCATACCTCTACTCCAATACGAGATTTTAAATGGAAATATATACTACATTTACTCGACAGCTCGTTATCACCAGCATGGGCGAATTTAGAGACAGTGAGTCCCTGGGCACAGATATGTAAAGGGCTCCACCACCTCTCTTACAGAGGACACACACACACACACACACACACACACACACACAGAGTAAATGTGGTGGTTTCATGCCTCTTTTAGTTGTTATGCATCTTTTGGTGGTTTTGTGTCTCTTTGTGGGTTTTTTCTTTTCAGAATCAGCTTTATTCGCCAAGTACATGTGTACATACAAGGAATTTGACTCCGGTAGACTTGCTCTCAGTGTACCAGAATTGACATAAGTACTCAAAATTTAGTCAAGATGTGGAATATACAGAAATATACAAAATACAAAAAATATACAAGGATGCAAGTGTTGTTTGTCCTGCCACTCTGTGACTGTTACTGTACATTCACACCAACACTGACCAGAGCTTCCAAAATGGCGGAAGTCATTCATTTTCAATGAGAGCCTGGTGAATTGGGCGACCTTGTCATCAGCCGCGCATCTTGGGCGTCCAAAGCAACTGTACCAGTCCGGAGGGGAGTTAAAACTTGTTTAACTTTATGGTAATAAGCTCTGATGCGGTTTGGCGACAACCAATCAGAATGCTGACATGCTTTGATGAAGCGGGTCCCAGAGAACAAGCCATGTAACTTTGGTTCCTACAGCACACTTGTTCTGACAATGGATATCAAGAAGTTTATTACTTGCGTTCGCGCCCACTCAGTCCTTTATAATGTGTCGCTGCTCGGTTACAGAGACCAAAATAAAGAGAATGAGGCTTGGGACCATGTCGCGGAGGTACTTGGTTGGTCTGGTGAGTTTTAAAGTGTGTAATGTTAGTAATGGAGGAGAGAATTGCAGGCTAATGTTGTGACATAGCATGCAAGTCTTCCTTGCTTGGTTTGACTGGGATGACGCTATCTGTTTTCATTGACCAAACATAACTTTTTGTATCCCAACTATGGGCTTTTTGACTGGACAACAGCAAGCAGCAACTACGCTGCTTTCAAGCCAGTAGTTTGCTTTGCGGCTCCTTTAAATTGACAAGCACGATCGAACACTCCAATGATTCATGTGATGAGCAACTAGAGCACCAAAGCTGCCACAAATATTTTTGACAGTCAAGCTTCTTGGGCGTCCGCAAGAGACTTTGCCTCTTTGGAAGCTTCTGGTTTGAACATACAGTTAGGAGTGGTCAGAGCGGTCCTGGGGGAAGAAACTGTCTTTGTGATGGGTAGTTTTGGTGAAAAGTGTTCTGTAGCGCCTACCGGAGGGGAGGAGTTTAAACAGTTTGTGTCTGGGGTCTACAGTGATGTTTCCTGCCCGTTTCCTGACCCTTGACTGGTACAGGTCCTGGCTGGAGGGAAGATCAGTCCCAATAATCCTCTCTGCACACCTGATTGTCCGTTTCAGTCTGTTCCTGTCCAGTTTGGTGGCAGATCCAAACCAGACGGTGATGGATGTGCAGAGAACGGACTAGATTATGGCTGTGTAGAAAGTGATCAGTAGTTCCCGAGTACCCCTTTTCTTATACCCCTTTTCCTCCAAAATTAGTCCCACTCAAAGCTATAGACCAGCAATACTCAACTTATGGCCCACTGGCCAAATCTGGCTCCTGATAGAGTGCTGGGTGGCCCCCCAACCATTTTCTTTTTTCTATATCCTCCTGAAACCCTGTGTCCTCATATGAGGACAGCACATTTTGGGTTTACTGCACTTTATACTTTACTTTATTAGACATGTTGTCCTCGTTCGTGGACACTTTTTGTGCCATCTAGTGAAAGTAAGAGCACAACACACCAATCCATGTAATTTTAGAGTTCTGGCTATAAGGGTGACATATGCAATCCAATTTGACTGTACCTTAGGGAGATTATTGTCTTCACACTGAATACCAAAAATGGCTGTAAGAGAATTTGGATGAATTATTCTTCCAAGTAGTTTTGAAAGGCCTTCAAAAATGGAGAACCAGTAACCCAAGAGACCTGAGCAAGATAAAAATGTATTGTTGCAGGTGAATGTATTCATCTACTACAAGAATCATTAACTGTGGGGTACATCTTTGAGATTCTAGAGAACATATCTGACCATTCAGCATCTGTAAATTGTAAATTCAGATCACTCTGCCACACCTCTCTCAATGCATCAAGAGTTGTTTGTAAAGATGCGAGTTTCAAATACATAACAGATGATATGCCTTTGAGACATGGAGGTTTTGGAAACAGGATATCTAGATGCTGCTTTTCAGGGATTGATGGAAATTACCCTGTATGGTTACTGGCCCAATCTTGAACTCCCCCAACCATTTTCTATTTGACGATGAAAATAAATTGATTCACCCTGGGATTTTTTTTAATGTTTAATATGTATACAGTGCCAGAGTCAATAAAACAGCATAAAAATAGAGCTTGTTAGTCAGAAAAAGTGTTAGATGAGCATCCCCCGGACTCCCCAACAGAGATTTGGTGTATGCCCAAGTGTCCTCAGTTCCTAGAAACACCCCAGTGCACACCTGACCAGTGCAGGGCTGCTGCGTCTGGTCCCTGGCCTTCTATAATTTTGTAGAAGTGGCTGTGTACATGGTCCTGCAGCAAATGAGTACACCTTTCTGTTTTTGTTTTTCCTTTTTGTCACGTTTCACATCACAGCTGGTTGGAAAATAGGTTAGTAAACAATAGAAAGCAGCATAGAGACCAGTAAAAATGTTACAGGGGTTACTTATTTTATATATCTTTTAATTATTTAGGCTCTTTTAAAAAAGACAGACTGTATTCTGTGGTGGCATGTTATTGCAGCTCACAGGTATTTGGGCTTAAGTTAGCGCATTCACCCAGGTGTTGTGTTTCAATCAATGGTGATCAGTGCTGGATCCAATTAATACCTGTGACTACTGCAGAGTCATTTGACCTGAAATGAATGCGGAGTGTAACCTTTCTGATTAATTTGACAGCACTTTTAGTCATGTTTGATGATACATTTGGGCTTGAAGCTATTCTGATTATGCTTGTTTGATTCACAAAGCCAATATGCAGCAAAATGAATTACTTCATTTATTTAATAAAGTACATTCAACATACAGCATTAAGGGTAGCTGTAAGGCAAAAAGACTTGAGCAATTTCTTCCCTTTGTAAGCTTTGGAAATTAAAACAGATGTATAATGAAACTTTGACACACATCATTTAGAAACAGATGATTATTCAGGAGGTCAAACTGTTAAATACTTTATTTTGTACATTAACAATCACACAAAGAACACAAAAGGCCTGAATGTATCCATGCTGGTCTTGTCTTTACATCAGCCCCCAGCTGTGACAGTCCAGCAGCCTCTGTCGTAGTTCTCCTGGCTTCCATCTGTGACGTGTTTCCTGGGAGTGATGAACTATGTTAGTCTGTTTCATTCTGTTTCTTTGGCACATCCTGGTTTTGTTCAGACGTGTTCAGCTGAGGCTCAAAAACAGGTCTGTAGATATAAATACCACCAACGACTCCGAGCAGTGTTGCAAAGGCAATCTGTGTGAAGGGAAGTCTTCTTCGAAACATGACTTCTTGTAATAAGGAATCCTACTGTTGTTAAGACACAAGATGATTCTGGAAGAAGAGCAAAGTGGTGTCATCTCAAGACTCTTTGTCTGGACATTTTGAATTATCTCCCCTTTTTTTATCAGCTCTGTTGAATGTTACATGTTCTTGCAAAATTTTAAGCATAACTTCCAGCGTGGATGTTGTTTGCTACCCAGTGTGTACAGTGCAAGCTAACTGCTGTGTTGCTGGGTGTGCTGGGCCAATGTTAGTGCCCTAATAACATATTCAGAGCCACCACTTGGTATTTCTGTATACATTGTGTGAGTGGAGGTTGATTTTCATGTAACATCATCCTCAGAGATTCAGATAGTTTAATCAGAATTTACTCGATAGAGCAATTAGACTGCCAAAGCATTGTGTTTTATGGTAATTTAAACTACTGCGCAATACAAAAGTGATATTTTCCGTGACATTAAAACTATTGGCACTGAAAATTTTCAAGACATTTTAACGAGTCTTATTTTGAAAAACCCAGACCGGGCGGATATCGGACACAGTGTCTGCTAGCTTGACGGTTTCCTAGCCGTTAGCTAAACACAACTCAACCATGACATATTAGCTGGTTTTGAGAAGATTCTCTGGAACATTAATAACTCACCGATGAAGCGGTTTATTCGATGTGTCTTCAAACACCAAACACAGACAGGCAGAAAGACACAGACGTGTAAACACAGGATACAACTACAAGGACATGGTGGTGTAATGTGCAGTGCAGAAGCTGCCAAGCATTCTTCTTCTACTCTAAAATCCGGACAAACAGGAAAAAGCTTCAGTCCGCCACCTAGCGGAGTGTGTGGTAACCTGCAATGAGCACATTTACCTGAACGACATTAGAAAGACTTGGGTAATTGACTACGGATGAAAGATATAAACTAAAATACCAGTGGTAAGATAAAATGACTACATTTACAAAGTCATCATTATGAAATGCCCTTTTTAAATCCTTTATTTAGTCGTTTTGTAACTTTTGTAAAATATGGACGACTATCTCAATATTCATTCAGTATCACAATTGTGACTTAGTCAAATACTCTGACCTCAGAATGCTTTAATTCTTACCCAGACAGCCATAATTAATTTATACTGTCTCATGAATAGTGGTGGTTTAAAGTGAATGAAGTGGTGACTTTTTGTATCTACAGTTCTTTTGTCAATATACTTATTCATTTTCACTTTTAAACAAGTAGAAGATAGATACATAAAGAAATCCAAAGGTAGAGAAAGGTAGAGACAAAACAATAGAAAAAACTAACCAAAACTAACCACCCCGAAATCTAACATCCAATGTGCAAAATGATCATTCAAGAAAATCCCTACAGCATGACAGTAAAGACACCAGGCTCTACATACTTCAGGAGGGGTTCCCAAATTTTGTAATACTAGTCTGTTATTTAATGTAATATACAAGTAAGGCACTAAATCAACAAGCGCTGTCTGTCGGCCTTAACAGTTGGTACTTTTTCATTAATGAGCTGCAAGAAAATGTTCTTGCTCACAGCATGGGTAAGAATTCAGTACAATCAAGTTAAAATTATGTATTCTTTTAATTATTTTCATTTCAGTTTCTTTTCAAAGAATAAAATAATCTGAATTTAAGACATAAAATAGTCCAAGTTACCTTTAAATGTAGTTCTAGAATATAAAGATGAAATACAAACAAGGTAGTATAAATTTGTGGAGATGGTATTGCAGAAGAATATACTGAATGTAAACAGGAATACAGTAAATGTATTTAAGTCATGGATGGATTACTGAATGGACTTAACTGGGACAGGCTCAGGGGCCCAAAGTATCAGGGGCCCCACTGGCATCCACCTGCAAAATATCACCCAAAGAGACACAAACCAGCGACACAAAGAGATTCATAACAACTATTAAAGGGGACAAACAAACTACAAAGACACATGAAATTACCACTGAGACAGACAATTACAACGAAGGGACAGAAAGCAGCTACAAAGAGACACACAATGACAACAAAGAGGCAAAAATCACAGAGAGATGCATAGCAACTACATGTCTGTGCCCAGGACCTGTTGTCTTTATCAATTTATCATTAATTTATTTTTCACTGTGTTAAATGGGCCTTCTTATATGTCTAATATAGGCAGAAAATCAACCACATACTTAATACGTGTTGTAGAGCTTTTACTCTGAAATCGTAAACAACACTCCACCGGAAGTAGGTATGAGTGCGGAAGTGCAGTCAAAACGAGTGAGCACAGTTTAATCTGTGCTAACTGATATTAAAATAAATTAACTGTCATTTAGTTTAAAATTTAAAAGTTTACCAGTGCTGGTTATTTGAACGGAAAGATTGTGCAGGTTGTAGCACGTGACCCAAAACCTTTAGCTCACGTTAATTTCGTATATTTGAAGTTGATGTGTTGAAGAGTTGAATCAGCTTCAGACTGATCAGACCACAGTTACATCCCAACAGGTGTACTGTGCTGGCAGCAGACAGACAACATGTCCTGATGGAGAACATCCGACCACGTCTGAAATTTGGGAATAAAGTCGAAGATGTGAAACTGAGGAAACGAAGATCCCAACTGTACTCAAAGGAAGATAACAGTCCTCTCAATGACGGTGAGGTCCTTATGTGTGAGATTTAAAATAATGGGGACCAAACAACTGCGATGATGACAATAAATCAGTAACATAATTGATATGAAGTGGTTTTTATTTCCCAGGTGTGCTGAGGACCAGAGTTGCAGTGTTTGCTGTGGTGTTCAGACTGATTAACTGCTTCCTGGTTCAGACCAGCTTTGTCCCTGATGAGTACTGGCAGTCTCTGGAGGTCTCCCATCGTATGGTCTTCAAATATCCTTTGACATACATTATCATCTGCAACTGTGTGACTCAGCTACAGTGTAGTATTATTATTGTTGTTGTTGTTATTATTATTATTATTATTATTATTATTATTATTATCATAATCAGCAACAGACAGTTACAGTTTGGTAAGGTTGCTATAAGGAGAAACTTTATTGTGGGTTAATGTGATTTTTTTTCTCAATAATTTATTCTAACCACCGTAAACTTCAATTAATAACCCAGACAATTATTTGATTAAATTACTGAAATCAACAGAACTATATCTGGGACAGGCTTCAATATGGGACAGGCCTTTAATTCTTTACACACAAAACTGTTGCTCAGCAAAATAGGAAATGCAATCAACTTGTTTCATTTAAACCAGTATGAATATTACTTGTTTAAAAATGAGGCTTCAGATATTTCAGATATGAATCATTCATTTAATCTAGCTCCGACAGACAGAGCATCAGAGAGAGAGTGAGGTACAGCACTCGAGGATTACGGCACCTGGCATACGGACAGAACGCCACTTTATCCTGTTAAAACAATACTTACAACTAAAATTGATTTTTATGAAAAGCCCTTTTGATTCTTTTGATCTGAGGACCCTTACGGACCAAAGGAATATGATTAATCTAATAATCTAATCTAGGAATGGACACATAATTTGAGGTAGCCACCAGCTGGCTTTTATACATCCAAAGAATTTCTATAAAAAAATGAAATGCTTGACCAGGCCTCTAATTGAAACAGGTGTTTATTTATCAAAATGTGCAGCCACACCTGGTGGGTAAAAGGGACTGGTCATTTAATTTGGGCTAGGCTTTAAATTAAAGTTCTACGGTAATTCTAAATTTCTGATAAATAATAATCAGTGGCCATAAAATTGTTACTCTATTATTCTGTGCTGTTCCAACCTTAACAGTGAGACCTATGGGTACCTGACCTGGGAATGGAAGGCAGGAATAAGAGGATTCACCTATCCGCTCTTCTTTGCATTCATATACAAGATATTATACTTCATAAACTACGACTCAGTCTATCTCCTGGCAAGTTTACGTATTTTATATTCAGATAACTTTCATATTGGCACGACTTTGACCACATACATTTCCTATCGTCACTTTGTTTCTCTAATCCTGGTCTCGTTGGTTCTGCAGATATGGCTTCCACGTATAACTCAAGCGCTCCTGGCTGCAGCTGCAGATGTGAAATTCTTCTTCCTCATCCGAACGTTGGAAAGTCGTGACGTTGCAAAATGGACTGTAAGGAGTTTCCAGTTCATTCTCCAGACAGGCCTTTATATCCCCAAGGTTTCAAGCTGTCTCAGTTCTCTAGTCACCTAACATACACGGCTTGTCTTCCTGTTTTGGTCTCCAGTTCTTCTGCCACATGTGCTCGTGGTTCTCGTGGTACTGCTGCACCAGGACTCTGACCAACAGCATGGAGACTACCATCACCTGCCTGGCTCTGTTTTACTTCCCCCTGCCTGGGTCCAAAACACACAGCAGGTCTGGGCTTCTTACATCTCTCTTTTATGTAATTCATCCTGTCTCTAAAACTACGTTATTCACCGACACACTGTTGATGTTCTTACAGCAAAATATATCTGACCCTGGTGGCCTTGGCTGTCATTATTCGACCGACAGCCCTGATTGTCTGGTTTCCTCTGCTGCTGTACCATTTCTGGCAGGAAGATAACAAACTGAGGCTCATTACTCATTACGTCATTCCCATAGGGTTTGTACTCTTATCTCATGTCAACTGAATCAGTGTTTCATCCTCGTGTCTTTATTGTGTCATCTTTTGTTCTCCTCTTTTGCAGAGCTTTGGCTGTTGTGATTTCGACAGTGATCGACTGTATGTTTTATGAAAAGGTAAAACATAAAATCCAAGTGATCATTAGATTAAAATAAGAGCTGCTTGTGAAGTCAAATGCAACACACACTGTCTCTGTTTCTCAGTGGACCATGGTGCAATTCAACTTCCTGAAGTTTAACGTCCTCCACAGTGTGGCCGATTTCTATGGCTCCCACCCCTGGCACTGGTACTTCACTCAGGGGTTTCCTGTTGTGATCGGCCCTCATCTTCAGCTCCTTCTTCATGGGTGCAGCCTCGCCTTCAAAAGATACAAAATTCTGTTGGCAGCGGTCGTCTGGACAATCGCGGTGTACAGGTAAAATGTCTGCGTTCACATTCATGTGCCCTTATTTATCAAACTGCAAAGAAGAGTTACTCACTTGTTATTACAGTACAGTGTTGTAATATTTAGTAATTAGTAATATTTAAGAGCCACTGTCAAGTGATCACATGATTAATCACATCAATTTAAAGGAAAAGGATTCACCACACAGGTGCCATTTTTCATTATTTCAAAAGAAATTCTCACATTTTCTCAGTGAGATGTTGGTCTGCCAAAGCATTTATGTTTCTTTAGTTGATTTTTATTGTGTAAATTTAAAAAAAAAAATATCTCCAGTGGCAATAAATGTCTGAAATAAACATCCTAATAGGAATAAGATAATGGATGGTAAATGGTCTTACATCATATCAAATATGAATCTGCAGATAACTGCTTAGAAGAAAGCAGTATATGATGATGATGATGATGATAATGATAAGAATTTATTTATAATTTAATTTATTAAATAATATATAGGTGATATAATTGATTTATTAAATTAATAATAATAATTATTTTCATATTACCACAAAGTGTTTTCCAGATTAAAAGATTTACAGACTAATAATAATTAAAGGTCCAGTGTGTAAGATTCAGTGGCATCTAGTGGTGCGGTGCGCGACACACAAACTGACATGTTTAAATCCTTCCCTTCAGCTTACTTCCTCACAAGGAGTTCAGATTCATCTACCCTGTGCTGCCTTTCTGTATGATCTTTTGTGGTAAGTTGTCACTTTGTCATCTAAGGTGTCTGTGCCGTGTCACAAACAGCCAGATGTGTGTTTTAATACTTATCCTACTACAGGGACGTCTTTGGCTAATTTGAAAGCTTGGCGGCGAACTGCTGCATTCCTCCTGTTAGTGAGCAACCTGGGTGGAGCTCTGTACACCGGTCTGATCCACCAGCGTGGCACTCTGGACGTCATGAGCCACCTCCAGACACTGTGTAACGTCAGCAGAGTCTCCACCACTCCACCGCCAGATGTCCTGTTCCTCATGCCCTGCCACTCAACGCCTTTTTACAGGTATCAACAACTCTGATTCAGTCTTTTTTATTTTGATGCTCTGGTCTTGAATTTTCAAAATATTCTGAGTGTACTCTCTCTTTGTAGCCATGTCCACTGCCCAGTGAAGATGAGGTTTCTCGAGTGTCCCCCAGATCTTGGGGAGGAGGGTTATGTCGATGAGGCAAACAGGTTCTACAATGACCCTCTTCACTGGCTCAGGACTTCATTTCCATACAAATCTTCTCTACCGACCCATCTGGTTTTGTTTGACGTTTTGGAGAAGGTAATATTTTCACAAATAATATTTCTCCATTTTTTTAACAAAATATACGCGTGATATATTTGTGTGTGTGTTTTGTTGTTGTAGGACATCTCCGTGTTTTTGGATGGGAACAACTTTGTGAGGACAGCAGAGATATTTCACACTCATGTCCCCGAGGGAAGAGTTGGAGGAAGCATCTTTATTTATGAAAGGCACTGACAAACACTGGAACAATGGCAACTTTTTTTCTTTTTTTTTTTACCTTAAATGAGAGTGTCACATGGTGTTGCTGCTGAAATAAATATTTTAAACTCAAATGTTATTTTGAAATATCAATTGTCAGACGTGTAAAATGTGTAACACCAAATTATTATAATTATTTTCAGATTGTGTGACAGTATTTTTCCAGTCATTTTTTTCCACAACATGTAAATAAAACAAATAAATCTGCCAGGTCCAGTTCAGTAAAGCTTGAGGTGGAATGTTAGAAATCTTAACTCCAAAAGCAAACTACAACCTCGTCACACAAACCTGTCTTTGTAGCAGCAAATTAAAACAACTACATGGCTCTACACAGAAACATCCAAAAATGTGGCATGTCTTTTCTTTTCGTTTAAATAAACATTTTTGATTGTGTGTATTTTTAAACATAAGTGCTGTGGTTGAAGATCAGTGGTGTTTCAGGTAGAACTGGAAATTAACTCAGACATCTCATGTTACACCAGATATGCCACATCTTTCACTCAAACGGAACGATTACTTCACTAAACACAAAACAACTCGAAGACCTTCAGTAGCATTGAAAAAGTTAACATTGTGCAAACTTACAAAAAAAAAAAAAAAAGAGGAAACTCTGCATCTGAATAAAACCCAAAACAGAAATGGCAACTATGATATTAAACCAGCTGAGATGATTTCAGTATTTGGGATCAAACGGCATCGGGCCCAGTTCTATTTTGACGTCAGCCATGTGTCTGTCTGCGTTTCTCCCCGATCGGCTCCACTTGCGTTCACTGTGCTGACGAGATCGGGCTCTCTGCTGCTTTCGCTGATGATGCTTCGCCCTCGACTCCTTTGAGTCTGTGTCGGGTCTTTCAAACGGCCCGCTGTGTGGGTCAAACACAAAACACATGGCATGACTATAAGTTTACACTGATAAATATGTACAAGGTGCAGCAAGGTAATAGAAGAAAGCAGAGGCTGTATTCACAAAACCACTAAGTTTCCACTAAATGACCAAGTTAGGAGAAGCATATGAAATAAGGGAAATATCAGCATGAATTTAAAGTTTTTAGTCTAAAAGTAACTAAAAATATCTTCTAAGTTGGCAAGAAGTTAGAAAAGAATCGACAATGCCCATATTTCTTGGTCTTGTCCTTCTATTAAGTCTTTCTGGAAGGAAGTAGCAACAATTATTTAAAAAACTTTGGGTTTTAGTGTTTGTACAGCGTTCACATCCCTGACGGACGAAGTAAAGATGATACTAACTTATCTAGTAAAACTGTGGTTCCCAACTGCTGGGTCCAAAAGTGGGTCACAAGTCCATTCTGAATGGACCGCAAGTGACTAACCAACATGTCACTTCCTGCTGTAGTATGAGTGACTAACGGACAGCTACTTAACAGAGACGGCAAACTCGCTCAACATGATGCATCTAATGGGGAAACTCATTAATTAGGAGAAATGTTAGGGAAAATATGAATTTCAATAAAAGAAACCTGTATTATTATTTATTATTGAGAACTTTTTTTCTCTTTATATGCTGAAGTGTTTGTCTGTCGCATTTTTGCATGTTCAGCTGACCACTGACTAAAACACTCATAATTTAGCTATTACTGGAGTTTATAAATTTGAAGTGTACCTTTTCAACACAGTCTGTTTTCTCTCAGTCTCAGATTAATGCTGTGTTCACATGGAATCAAGGAGACAGCAGATTGCAAACCGGGTATCATTTTATTAGAGGGGAGCAGGACGGTAAAATGAGGTGATACTGCCAGATAATACTGGCAATGTTAGCAGTAGATGGTACTGCTGCTCAGAGTTAAAATACTTTAACTTTATTTGTCCTCTGAGATGAAATTAACCGAATGTTACGTAGCTCCTTCACACGAGGGCGATCTCAACAATTTTTGGAAATAGCTGGAAACATAACAAAATAATGAAAACAACTTAATTTAATTTGCTTTATTTGTTGTAAACAATACACCATCATCACCGCAACATATCATCATTCATTCTATCAGAACGTTTGTTTATCTCGTGCCGTCCACTGCCCAGGAGATGGGCCTGATTCCAGGTGAACACAGCAGTCTAGTCTTTAAGCCTTTAATTTTTTACACAGTAAAAAAAACTCTTAGCATCATTTAGATGGACTCCTACTTTATAACTTACTTTGGGCCGTAGCTTTTTCTGTAAGCCTCTCCAAAGAAGTGCCGATAGACGAAGTCATCAAGATCTCTGAACACGTCGTCATCAAGGCCGCGCATGTCAGTCAGATAGTTCTCCACGCCGCTGACAAAGTCTGTGAACAGCATCTGGTCATGGATAAACACTCCGTTATGGAAGAAATTGTTGATGAACTTCTCCAGCTCTTTCCAGTGGTGGAAATGGTCGACTTCTTGATGCAGGTAGCTCTGCAGCAGCTGGTAAAATTCGTCTGCTCTGATTGGCTCCATGGCTTTGTTGAAGAGACTCATGGACTCCTGGTAGGCGCAGTCAAAAACGCCAGAGCATCCTTTCAAGTTAGCCTTGTGGGCATCTTGACCTCGATCGTCGTGAACTTTATTTCCTGATTTTCGAGTGTTGTGGTTGCCCTGAAAGGACTCTTCAAATTTGCGCTGGTGTCTGTGATGAGTCTTGTGGGATCTGTGCTGCCACGACTCTTTTGTGTTCTTCTCATCACGTCTCTTATCGTAAAAGCCTCTGGCTTTGTTGATGAAGGTTGAAGCTGAATCCTTGAAGTGTCGGAAAGTTAATTTGACAGAATCTGAAAACTTCCTCAGGTTCTCCTTCACAGCTTCCTTTGCTTTCTTTATCTGCTCTTTGTGGTGATGGACAAACTCTTTGGTGGAGTTCTTCACAGCATCGAATGTCTCTTTCACTTTACCTGCCATGCCCTCTTTTGGTCTTTTCACTTTGGACGATGTGTCTCCTTTAGCTCTGTCCTCTTTGGTTTCCACATACAGTCTCTCCCACAGATCTGAGCGCTGCTGCTCAAAGCTCAGTCTCTTCTCCAGTTCCGCCAGACGTGACTGGAGCTCTCCTGCCTCTGAACCAGCCTCCTTTCCAGCTCTGGAGATTTGACTTCTCAGCTCATTTAACTGCCTCTTCAGCTCATCTGTAACCGTTCTCTCCTTGTTGAGCTTCTTCCTCAGTGTCTGTGCTTCAGCCATCATGTCTTCCTGCTGGCTGTGGAAGCTTTGGCTCAGCTGTTTCTCTTCCTCCAGCTGGTCTTTCAGCCTCTGGTTTTCTGATAGCAACAAGTCAGCACCGACTCCCATCGCCTCCCGATCTCTAATCTTAGAGCGCAGGTTTCTCAGCTCCTCCTGTAAGGTGGAGAGGGACTTCTCTTCACGTTGTAGGGAGGTTTTCAGCAGCTGGTTCTCAGTGGTCAACTTCTGCTGCTGAGACATGATGTTAGTCCTCTCCTCAGCCTTCTGTTTCAGCAACGTTTCCAGGTCATCCCTCTGAGCCTTCATGGAAAAGACAGAACAAAAGAGGCAAAGTTATTGCTTTTAAAATGGTGTTTACACAAGTAATCATTGAATTGAAGGATTTTTCAGCATTTGAGCAGTAAAACAAAATACAGGATGAGAAATTAATTTTCTTTTCTTCAGTTTTTTTTTTAAAAACTGTAACTATAAAATGAAAGGATGTTTTGCTGCCTCTCACAGCAGCTGTAGTTTGAGGAAAAAATAACCTAATTCACTGGGCCAACTGCCGGTGACTTTTAAGGTGAAACGTTAACTTGTAATGTTACTCAGTGTATGAGCTGACCACGTGAGTCCATCAGCACACCTTAAATTTAAGTATGACAACTCTGACCATTGATTTAGTTTTTATTGTCTCTCTTGGATGACAGACTTTTAGTGGATCTTCAAGCGTTTAAAAATATATACTAATTTCTATGGGATTATGTGAACTGCATATCTTCTAATCCTCCCTTGGAAAAAAAAAGCATTGAGGAGCGTCGCTCCTGTGGGCTAAGACAACACTAACACTAACTAACTCCCTTTGAAGGACTCAATGCACAAACCTGCTGTTTCTAAATATCCCATGGAGAGAGACTCCTACTGCAGCCTGTTATATTTTGTTCTGAAAATCTCAGCGTGTAGCCTCGTTCTGTGGATGATAAACAAGGTGCAGACTTCCATCTGTGTCACTGGTGAAGAGCCAGGAATTACAGTGAGTGCTGGATGGAGTTGTGAGTGACAACAACCCCGCCCACATTTAAGAGTACTGCAGTTTGCAGTGGAAACACTAGGGACTAAGTGCAATGTCAGAAGGGTTACTTTTGTTTCCAAAGGTACCATACCAAAAGGGTTTAGTGGAAACGGGGCTCAAGTTACCTGAATGTGTGCCTGTTTGATGTTGAGCTCCTGGTTCTCTTTCTTCATCTTCTCAATCACCTCTGTGAGCAGGGAAATAACTTTTTGCTCATCCAGGTCACCCAAGGCAAAGTCGCTCTTCTGGACCTGAGAGAGAAAAGGAAGAAACAAAATGTGGTTCATTAGAATCTTTATTACACCTATTACACTCCTGTCAGGTGCACTGCAATGAAATAAAAGAGCCCTGCATAAAATACTACTTTACCTTGAGAATTGTGCTTTAGTTCTTTATGTGTTGATTCAATGCAGTGGTAGATTTTAAGGCTTTGTGGTGACTGCACTATATAAAGTTAATTCTACGTATTCTGTCCACTTTACTAACATAAACAGACAGATGATCCAATGCAACACTATAAACTACAGTGTCAAGAATGACCAGAGTTGAACCATCACTTCTATGACAGTTTCAAATAAAAATTAAACATAAAAATATTATTAATTTATTATGGGACTGTTGCATTAGAATGCACATATTTAACAATAAATACAAAAATAAGTATTATGCATGAAAGAGGTCACAAAAGCATGGCACAGAATGAGTTAATGAGTGTTGTTATGTACATTCTTGAGCTTGAGCTCAATAAGCTTGTTGTTTCTTAAGTTGTGACCTGTGTTGTCACTGACCTGTTTAGCAAAAGGTTGTTCTCTAACATGTCGCTGAATCAGATCCCTCACAACATCCAGTTCATTCACTCTGACTTTATCTGTTTTCTGTCTTTCCTGAATCTGGATGGTACCTGTAACACAAACAAACTTACTTATTACACGCAACACTAGAGAGGCATTGTTGGGACAAGTGTACATATGATAAAGCAGCAGTCTAAAGTGAGGAACAAAAAGTAGGACAGGTATATAATCTACAAACAGTTAAGAGTTCACAAACACTGTAGTTCAACCCAAGATAAGGACCGCTCTCTTGCACTGAGTCTTGCAAACAAACTAAGGAGCCGTGTAAAAAAAACTCAGACACAAAGTACATTTCTAATGACGCAGCGTGAGACTGATTAAGAGGTAATTAGTGCAATACTTAAACAAATCACTTTCAAATATCTCTAACAGTGAGCAAGCACATCAGCACATCTGAAAGACAGAGAGGCCACAAACAAAACTCAGACTTATATCTTTTTTAAAACCAGCTAGATTACGTGATATTTTACATATGAATGTGCTGTACTGTTATAAAATATGTACATTAATTACAGCTAACTGGAAAGTGTATCTTCTGCATTTTCAATAA